GCATTTTAGATGATGGTGGTGATAAAATGACGCGTTGAAGTATGATTATTGGAAAATTGCGGAGGAAGTGGACGGCTCGGCCGTGGATTACGTTAGTGCGTATCTACTTATCTACGAGCACATTATATGGAAGTATGCCATCTTGATAAGATGAATTTCATTGCAAAGTAAAGAAACTGGTATCTCTGAACTTTTATACCGCTGTAAATGCAACCCCAAGTCTATCCATGCAAAAGCATTGCCAAAGAAACAATCATATATACCAAGACTGCGAGGATTAGGGCTGTCATTCATTACCAGCCGCCTCCAATCTTGCCTGCTAACTCGACAACACGCGCAGTGTCATTATCTCCTGTCTCCGTCTTGCCGACATCGCTTTGTACTTCGCGATAGGTTGTTTGCACAAGCCTAGAGAGCGGGACTCCCATGATCTGGGACCAGTACTGCATAGCATCGTGGATCTTGGATTCCTTCTCGGCCAGAGAAGGGGGCTGCTGAACCTCTGCGACGCTCTCTGAGTCAGACTCGGCGGAGTAATATGCTTCGTCTACACGAGCGAGCCATGCGCGTTGCTCGTGTGGCGTCGGCTTGGATGAGGTTTCAGGCGCATCGCCCGAAGGTGCCGATTGCATATCAGAGGTGATCTGCTTAGCATCCTCAATCCGTATCTGTCCGCCTCCATTGGTGCAGCCACCAGGGCATGCCATGACTTCGACGTAGACATAGTCCGGGCCTGATCCGGCAGCGGCCCTATTCCGTGACACGGGCTGTCGTCGGTTTCCGCCTGCAGAACCGACCGCTTTTGCGCCTGGGAGCCTGGACACGCGTGCAGGCTTGAGTTTCCGTACAAGGTTTTGAATGTTGCGGAAACCGTAGAAACGAGCCGCTTTCATGATCGGCTGTTGTTCGGCGGACATGAGGATGTACTCGACTACATCGGCATTCCGTCCGCGCTGGGTGACGATCTCGCTTCCCGGATTCCGTGACTCGAATGTTTTAAGAACATGGTAAAGGTAGCCTCCGGAGGTGCTGGAGGCAAGCGTCTGGTCTTTCGAAGCGCGCTTCGAGAAGAGCATGTCGTGCAAAGTTTTGTCGGGGAATGGCGGGCTGACGGATTGCGGCAATGATTTCAACGGTAGGTTAGGAAGAGACAGCCCTCGTGCAGACGCCAATGAAAGAATCTCACGGGTGGTAATCACACAGTCGACGTCGCGAACCGGCTGAGAGGTACTTTCATCAGGCCGCCACGACATATCAGTAAGCTCTTCTCTGCTAGCTTCAAGCTTCTTGTCGAAGCATGGCATGACCGCCAGGTGCCAAATTTGAGAAGGTGAAACTCCAAGGGATTTGCCCAGAACCGTTTTAAAGAAAGTGCCCATCAAGGCCTGCGGCGATTTCATTCGAGACAAATGAGGGAGCACAAACGGGTGTGTCTTTTCGGCGTAACATACCCACCCAGGGCATGCTGAAGACAAAATCGGCCGCTTCGGGGGAGCGTTGTCCGTACCATCGGTTGCAGTAGTGTTGTGAGCATTGAGCGACTCATCGACCTCGTCCGCGGTGAGAACTAGCACCGCCTCACGCATTTTGTTGGTATCCACAACCCATGTAAACCCATTCCCGTGTTTACCACCCGCCGCAAGACCATTAGGTCCCCTAAGAAGCTGATTGATCATATAGCCGGCCTCCTTCTCCGATATGCCATATGTTGCGGCCAAGCTGGCTCTGACCTGAGGGCTAACGCTAGCCACGAATATCCGTCCTTCTTCAGGTACATCATTGGTCGCTAATTTTACCGTACTATCCTGTTCGAATGCCAATGGTATCTGAGGGTGCGCATCGAGGGTGTTGAGGACCTCCGTATGTGACTGCAACGAAACCAAGACTGCCTCAGCAGACGTGACACAGCCGGAGCATGCCAGACAATCCGTCAGCGAGATCTCTGCCGGCGGAAGGTTCTCGGGCTGGACTTTGTCTTCTGTCGTTACTTCGTATTGGTCCTGTATACCAGATTAAGAATCAATGCTTGCTCATTGGACGATGCGATAAGGATGCGACGAAGGGTCTAACATACCTCTGAATTCTGTGGTGCTTTTTGTGGGAGAGTCTCAACGGGCTTGATGCATGCGACTCCAGGCGAGATGAAGTCGTTTAAATCATCTGCAGACAAAATTGCACTCATTGTGCTGAACACTGCTCTTGGAGCAGTTCCTCGTTAATGGTTATACTAAAGGAAGATAGCGCCACTGCGCGATTAGTTTAAAAGCGTCAACCTCGTTGTTTCCAAGTTAAGGTGAATAAAAGATAGCCTTCGGATGTTGTAGAAAATCTCTTTTTCACTTATGTCCAATCTCAAAGAAGTCGAAAAACAGAGAAAAGAAGTATGATAGAAGATGGTTGATGTATCGCTGCTTTGTCATAGTGGCGAGCAGAAAGATTCGTTCGGTAATTACCAATACTTACCAATACGATACGTCCCGCGATCGGCCTGATAATCTCACCGCCCTTAGATAACGAGACGTTGCCGCCTGGAATTCTGCCGATGCCTTGTTGACTCTTCTCTCGGTGACTCCCAGTGACTCCCAGTGACTCTCCATTGACTGTTCATCTCATTTACCATGGTTCCAACTTTTTACTTATAGGTCTCGAAAGATACGGTTTGCGACCTACAAATAATGGAAGAGCACACGGGGACAGGGGGTTCCCAAACTCCTGCTTCATCGGCAACGCCGAGGACGACTGACACTTCTGCACATGGCTTAAGACAGACGACACTTACTACATTCTTCTCAAGACGATCACCCTCCCCCGATTCCTCTCGTATGGTTTCAAGCTCACCTAAGAGCTCCCATTCGAGAGCTTCGAATTCTTCATCCAAAATGGATCGCTCCATGTCCCAGCCAGGGGAGACACGACGGCATCATTGGGACGCAGGGCGGCAGCAAAGGAGAGAAGTCGCAGAGGAAACCGTAAAATTGCTCCCCAGCATACTAAAAGACCTTCCAACTAAGCCCGATGGGTATAAATGGACACCATCTGAAACACGACGTCTGGATCCCATGTACTGTCCAGACCTAAATGGCCAGGTCCGAGTCGTGAACGGTGACACATTCGATACTGCAATTCGCTTTGATGAACTGTTCCCTCGCAACAATCCAATCAATACCAAACCTGTCTGTGCCCTTAATATGGCTAACGCGATATGGGCAGGAGGAGGCTTCCGCAATGGATCGTTGGCGCAGGAAGAAGAGCTATGTTATCGAAGTAGCCTTATTTTCACTTTGAAGCTACGGTTCTATCCTATGAAGGAACGCGAGGCCATCTATTCACCTACCGCTGTGATAATCCGGAATGGTATGAAAAAGGACTATAATCTTCTGGATTTGAAGAAGCCGAAATCGCTCCCTGTTGTCAGCGTTGTCAGTATGGCTGCATTGTATAATCCAAGGTTGTCTTGGCCCTCAAGTGGCCCTCCTACATACAAGGACCCTGCAGACCGAGAGTTAACGAAGGGAAAGATGCGTGTAATTCTTCGCGTGGCCGCACACAATAAGCATCGCAGGCTGGTTCTGGGTGCCTTGGGTTGCGGTGCCTTCAACAATCCCAGAGAAGAAGTTGCAAATTGCTGGGCGGAAGTATTGAGGGAACAGGAATTCCAAGGATGGTGGGAAACCATTGCATTTGCGATTGTGCCACCTCCCCCAAGTTTGAGGGAGAGGTCTAATCTAGAGATATTCGAGGAGGTGCTTGATGGACTTTCAATTTAATCCATCATGTTTGTCCGTACATTGCTTCTTAGCGAGTATTTTAGATTCACGATAGATAGTGCAGTTGGGGCAGTATGATTCAGCACTGTAGGTAGTATGTACACTCGGGAGTCCCAGCAGCGCTTTATTTCTTGTTGCGAGTGGAACGGCGTCTGCCAGCAGATGCCGTTTCGGTTTCCTGTTTCGTATCTTCCTCATTCTCATCCTTGACGGGTTCCTTGCTCTGTTTTTTAGATCCCGACTTTCGAGCCTTGCTTGTGTCCTCAGGCTCGGAATCATTTTCCTCTTTCTTAACAGCTCCTCTCTTTCGCTTCGACTGAGTTTGCGCGCCATTGACATCCTCGTCGCTAACATCCTTCGATACAGCCCCGGTCTTCTTCTGCACGGACGGGACTACCGCGCTGGTTCGACCTCCAACGGTAAGAAAGACAATCTTCTCTCCATTAGGGAGGACGGAAGGCTGGTTCTTCTTTCCCTTCCCCCATCGATGCTTGAAGAGCCAGTGCTCTGGGAACTTTTCAGAGTCTGCAAGCAAGTCCACCGAGGTGTCACAGACATAGTGGATCGAAGAGTTGAGTTCTTTTATTTGTTCATCACTCAGCGTGTTGCTGTACTGTTCCGGGTGTATCTTGGCATGGTATAGTATCTCATCACTGTATGATCCGTCAGTCTCTGCAGCAAGGTCCTTTTGTTCTTGATTACCTACCCCATCCAATTGCCTATCCCACTGATGTTGGCTTGGTCAAGGAGCAAGGCCTTAATAGGTACCTTTTTACTCTGCACCTTCACAATCAACCAACTATCCGTCACTGCATCTTTGTCCGCAACTGGATCCGGCCCGTTCTCCTTGAGAGGGCTGTACTTCCGAATCTCATCTGCCAGACAATCTACCAATCGTATCCGCGCAAGTCTGCGAAAGTCGACAAATGCCGCCTCCGTCTTGGGATCCTCGTCCGTTTCCAGCAAGAACTTCCAATACTTAGGCGGCCAGTCCTTGTCCACCGGCTTGTCAGTCCGGTAATAGTACGTATCGGCATTTCTGATCTTTAGCCAGCCTGCCATGCCAAAGTGCATCACGACATGAGGCGGCGAGGACATGGTGATCCAGAAGTACTTCCCCTGCTGACCGGCGCCTGCGATTTGCTTCCCCTGCATTGCTTTTTGGAACTCTGCGGCACTCGTGCCGACTTTCCCGTAAACAACATCATCATGCTGGGCTGCGACCTTTGAGAGGGTCTTTCCAACCAGGTGTTGGCGGATGAAATGGACGATGCGCGAAACTTCGGCTAGCTCAGGCATGTTACGCAGAAATTTGAACGATTAACCGCTAGATTTATGACCAGTGCATGCGCTCGTATCAATCGTAGAACTCTTAAGAGTAAATCAACGCGGTTGAATGAATTGAGTCCTAATAAAGCTGGAGACACGCGATGGATATCCCTGTGCATAAATAACGTCATGGATGCTTAGTCATGGCATAATTTAACTTATGTACATGTATCCCGCCGTCAATTCCAGCCGGAGTTTCCACGCCGCTGGTCTTGAGAGGAATCTGTGAATAGCTATCTGAAGAAGGTTAATTTCTTTCGGGTACCTGCATTAACACCTTCAGGCTTATTTTGTCGCTGCGATAAGCGACTAGATTGCACAGTTGGTGGCGTGTTCCATCCACTAAATTGATATCGGACTTCATCGCATCTTGTTCAAACTGGTGTGAACCTGTCTCTGGGGCAATTCAAACTTGGCGACGTATCCGGAAAAGTGGTGAATAGGAAATGTCTCGAGCAACATCGACATCGGCTCCTACACTGACTCCTCAGTTTTGCTTTGATGAGAGAGTGATGAGAGGTATGCTTGCTTGGTACAAGACGTCCCCGGACAGCTGGGATCCAGGATCTTGACTAACTAATATATCGCTACGACTTCCAGACTTCTTACGAGTTTCGCGATCGACCATAGACGACTCCATCACTCAAAACCTCAATGCTCTGATCACCCCAGCCCGGAAGGGCTTCGACCCCTCATCCACTGCCGTACGCCAAACAGACAAACTCGGGAAACCGATAGATCCGATAGTCTGTCAGAGCTTTAGAGACAATGTGCTATTTCCCTCATGGCAGGCTCGATCAGACGTGCTCAACTACTGCGCCGGTGTAGCTACGAGCCCCGATCCGGAAGACCCGGACCTTATTCTCCGCCAGATTGAATCCGCCAAAGACCGGGAACGGGTTATTAATGAGCGACTAGATCCATATTCAGCGCGGTTCTTCCCTCAAGAGGCACGGACGGAGTCTCTGGCCAATTTGGTTCGGAACCAGCGTACTGTTGAGGAGATCATTCGGGCGCGGACGTGGTCTATGATCTCTGAGAGATGCAGCGGTCCTTCGTCGAATTGGGAGGAGGCACTCAACAGCTGGCGTGAGAGACAGCAGCGGTAGCATGTCCTATCAGAAGTCACGCCTGGTGTTGAGGTACGACATTTCCTTTCCGTATAAACTCCTCTCCCATATCTACCCTTTGACAGCTTCTGGCGAGGTTGAAGGGCATAATGTACATCAAAATCATATGTAAAATAGTTGCATGGAAAGGCGTTATTCGTTGGATGCGACGGTACCTGGATATGGATCCCTGCGCTGTCGACTCGGTTAGTCTGTCTGTTGTCGGGTTTAAAATCTCTTATTTAGACGGTCCTCATTATAGAGTATTATTTCGAGAAACAGAAATATAAATAACGAGGGAATTGTTACAATGTTTAGCTGTTTCTGTGGTAGTTCTAGGATTACTACTCCAAGTGCTCCTCGTCATCGGAGAAAGTCCCCTCCCGGCCACATCCAGCTTCCACGCACAAGTCAACTTGGCCGGTCCTCGCAACACCACCAACCTCCCCGCACAACAACCACCATGCCACAACAATTGAGCTCCAAGGATGCGTCCTTGTTTCGCCAGGTGGTTCGCCACTATGAGACCAAACAGCACAAGAAGGGTGGGTTTGGCATTCTCGAACCCCCAGAGACCTCCCCTCCGGTCCTTCCACAGTGTGAATAGGCTTGATGACTGACGTCTCATCTTTTCCTCGATAAACAGGTATCAAAGCAGCAGATCAGATCCTGCGGAAGAACCCGAACCATGGCGACACACTGGCGATGAAGGCATTGATCATCAGCAACCAAGGACAGCAAGAAGAGGCCTTTGTGCTGGCCAAGGAAGCTCTGAAGAACGACATGAAATCGCATGTCTGCTGGCATGTGTACGGTTTGCTCTACCGTGCGGACAAGAACTATGAGGAAGCGATTAAGGCGTATCGGTTTGCGTTGCGGATCGAGCCCGACTCCCAGCCTATTCAACGAGACCTTGCTCTGTTGCAGATGCAGATGCGCGATTTCAAGGGATACATTAATAGCAGAAGCGCCATGTTGCAAGCCCGCCCCGCATTCAGACAGAACTGGACCGCTTTGGCAATTGCACACCACCTCGCCGGAGATTTGGAAGAGGCCGAGAAGGTGCTCACGACGTACGAGGAGACGCTGAAGACGCCGCCGCCAGTTGCTGATATGGAACACTCGGAGGCTGTTTTGTACAAGAACACCATTCTTTCGGAGGCGGGTAAGGTCGACAAGGCCTTGGAGCACCTTGAGAAGGTTGGACACAGAGCCACAGATGTTTTGGCTGTCATGGAGATGAAGGCCGACTATCTCCTGCGACTCGACCGGAAAGAGGAGGCCGAAGCGGCCTATACTGATCTGTTGGAGCGGAACCCGGAAAACTCGATTTACTACGATGCATTGATCCGAGCCAAGGGTATCTCCGAGGATGACCACAAGGCGCTCAAGGCTGTTTATGACTCGTGGGCGGACAAGTACCCCCGTGGTGATGCCGCTCGCAGAATCCCGCTGGATTTCCTTGAAGGGGAGGACTTCAAGCAGGCTGTTGATGCTTACTTGCAACGCATGCTGAAGAAGGGCGTGCCATCGTTGTTTGCAAACATCAAGACACTGTACACGAATTCGGGCAAGCGCGACACTGTGCAGGAGCTGGTAGAGAGCTACACTTCTGGAAAGGCGCAGAACGGAGAGGCCAACGGTGACCAGAACGAGTTCCTTTCATCATCTTACTATTTCCTGGCTCAGCACTACAACTACTACCTCAGCCGTGACCTGTCCAAGGCGATGGAGAGCGTCGAGAAGGCTATTGAGCTCGATCCCAAGGCCGTCGAATACCAGATGACAAAGGCACGGATATGGAAGCACTACGGCAACGTTCAGAAGGCTGCAGAGGAAATGGAGAAGGCCAGGACCCTGGACGTGAAGGATCGTCATATCAACTCCAAGGCTGCTAAGTACCAACTTCGTAACAGTGAGAACGACAAGGCTCTTGACAACATGAGCAAGTTCACCCGGAATGAGACCGTTGGTGGTGCATTGGGCGATCTCCACGAAATGCAGTGCGTCTGGTACCTGACTGAGGATGGTGAATCATATCTGCGACAGAGGAAGCTTGGACTTGCCCTCAAGCGTCTCCATGCCGTCTACCACATTTTCGACGTCTGGCAAGAAGACCAGTTCGACTTCCACGGCTTCTCTCTCCGCAAGGGTATGATCCGAGCCTATGTTGACATGATCCGTTGGGAGGATCGCCTGCGGGAGCACCCATCCTACAATCGGGCCGCCCTTGCTGGCATCAAGGCCTACCTTCAATTGCACGAGGACCCCGACTTGGTTCACGGACCCATGCCCGCTGGTACCAGCCGCGAGGACGACACAGGAGAGGATTCCGAGAGGAGAAAGGCTATTAAGAAGGCAAAGAAGGAGCAGCAGCGCCTGGAGAAGGTCGAGGCCGAGAAGCGGGAGGCACGGAAGACGGCGACAGCCGTCAAGGGCCTTGATGGTGAAGTGAAGAAGGAAGACTCTGATCCTTTTGGAACCAAGATTGTCCAGACTCCTGATCCGCTCAGCGAGGCTACCAAGATCCTCACTCCTATTCTGGAGCACAGCCCTCAAAACATTGAAGGCCAACTCCTCGGATTCGAGGTTTACCTCAGACGGAGTAAGTTAAACCCAGCAGCATTCGTTCATGAAACTTCAGCTAACCAATCACTCACAGACAAGCTCGCCCTCGCGCAGAAGTGCCTCTCTGCCGCACACACTCTCGACGCCTCTAACCCAACCGTCCACGCCCAAACCCTTCGCCTCCGCAAGGCCCTGGACAACCCTAAAGAACCCCTCACCCCCGAAGTCTCCGAACCCGTCAACGCGGAACTGGAGAAACTCCTCCCGAAGTCCCAGAATCTTGATGAGTGGAACAACAACTTCCTCTCGGTGCACAAAAACAGCGTCTCGCACATCCAAGCAGCCCTCGCCTCCCGGCAACTGATCAACCCTGACTCCAAGGCACAGAACGAGAAGGATCTCGCTGCCACCCTGGACTCGAGCGATGCCTCGATTGAGACCGCTCTTGCCGGTCGTGAGTTGTTGGACGAGTGGCGGAGCGAGCAGGCTACGAAACAGGCTTATGCTGAGAAGTCTAAGGGGAAGTGGCCTGAGTCGTCGGTGTTTGATCTCGAATAAGGTGCCTTTGGTATTCCTTGGATGAGCGGCAGGTGGTTTGTTGGTTATTCGATAGGGATGCTTTAGGGAGAGCGATGCCCTCCCATGGTTATACAGAGACATGGAAAAGATTATGAAAGAGATGGATATAAGAGAGAAAATCTATTCATGAGATAAGATCTGAACGAAGACTTCGACTTGAAGACAGAAAAGGAGTTTTGTATTAATATCTGAGGCGGGTGCTTCCATGTATATGGGGATAAAATGAAATTCTACTGTTGCTACTGTCTATATCATCGGACTTTCAACTTTCTGGGAGATAACCTGGGAATGGTGACAGCTCTTTGGAGAAATAACGAGAGCAAGCTCGTGATTTTGGGGTTCGACTGAACAAGCAAACAAGGAACTCAAAGTCGAGGGATGGATGTCTGGGAATTGCTAAGGCTTACAAACCCACGAGTATCGAGGCACCTATGGGAGAAGAGTACATAGAGACGCCGGATATCGAGGCAATCCCAAAGCTTTCCAGATCACCAGCATTGTGACAATTCAGGCGACTTCGTAGATCACAACATGGCTTCAGAGTCCTCTCACATCACAGCAAACAATCCAGATATCCTAGATCAACCCAGACACCCAGAGTCCGCAACTCAACAATAGTTTTGGGGCGGAAACGGATACTTATCATACATCTTCGCCGCCTCGTCTGGTTCCTGATCCACGCACTCCATGAACTTATCATATAACTCCTTATTCAACTCAGTTGTTGCCTCCCACCGGTCTTTCGGGACCCAACCATCCCCATTAGTGTAGAGCGCCGTCTTCACCATGTCCCAAAGCTCAGATATTACTTTGTATTCTTCCGCTTCTTCATTGTGCTTCTTCAACTCTTCTTCAGTAAATGAGAAAGGACAGAGGCCTGCAAGGCCAAGGTCATCCCAATCTTGCGCAAGGCGTCCCAGGAAGCTACGCACTGGGGCGATACTGCCATGGTGGAGCGTATAAGGTGTGAACGGTTCCCATAGTCTCCGGTCTAATGACATTCCATTATAAGCGGTCTTGTTGTGTGAGAGACAATACATCTCGTAGTATTTGGACTGGGATTTCGCTCTGTATTCCGACTTGGCTTCTTGTTTCTCCTCGGAATCCATTTCGTCGTAATTTTCCGGTAATTTGGGAGTATCGAAGCCTTGTTTGTTACTTTTCGGATACCTCAGGAACTCTGGGAATTGACCTTGTATGAATAAAGGAGCAACTCGAGTTGACTGCCAGTCAATTATTCCTTGAATGGTTGTTTGGTCGCCTGGAGAGACGAAAATCTGCCCCAGATGCATATCTTGATGCCACAGAACGGAGTCTGCTGCTTCTATCACACGCGGGTCCTGTGCTAGTATAGGGAGCATTTTCTTCGCTTTATGTAATAGACTGCTGTATTCATCAACAGACTGCTTCTCGTCAAACTGATTGAGCTGCTTCTGCACTTCAGCTTTCCAGTTTGCGTCAAAATCTAACTGATTTAATTCCCGCTGTGGGATAGACAGTACGAACTCCTCAAGAGAGAACCCTTCGAGTCGTCAGACACTGTAACTCAATTAAAGGAGGACATAACTCACATGGACCGGTATTTGCCACGGGTTGGGGCAAGTGAATCAAGTCCTCGCCCCAAACAGATCCACTGCAGGATGGTCCAATGCAAAACAACCCGGCAGGATCCAAGTCTGGAGGGAGTGGACAATGGCGATATCCATAAGGCACAGAATCACGCATAAAGAGACTCCCATAGGCCGGAAACTTGAAACGTACAAGTTCCTTCTCCATTTCAACGATTTGCTTGATTATTTTGTAGCGGTCCGCCAGTTGCATTTCTGCCCATTTCGTGGACAGTGCAATTCCTGGTATCTTCTCCATGATGATATACTCCGTGTCTACCGGATTCTCTGGGTCTGAATTCCAAGCAAACACTTCTGGAACCCGAATCGAAGTACGTGACCGCACTAAAATCGAAGCATAAGTAAGCAGCGCAGTATGTGGAAGAACGGGTACGCAGACATACAGAAATTCGTCGTAGCCACCTCAGACGCTACCCTCAGCGATGGTGGACCTGAAATTGGAGACGGGACCTTTGCGATAACCTCGTTGTCGTCGTCCATTGTGAGGGCATATGCTTTGTTAAAGTTCCCCTCCAGCTTTGTGATGCGCACACATTTCGTGTCATTGCCAAATAGTGAGGCAGCCTGACGGCAGATGTTGTCGACGTTGAACTTGACATAGCGTTGCTTCAGGTGATGCTTCTCATTAAGCATCCATTTGGATTCAGTACATTTGAAGAGCTCATCCTGGTAATCTGCTCTCGACAGGGGTATTGATCAGTATCCATAGGTCTCAATAGCTGATTCTGGAAGGCAAGTAAACGAACCGGCATTTTCTAAGACGGGCCTTTTCACTGGTATCGTCAGGTGGAAGGCCCGTTCTATGAACATCTTGAAAACCAGCGAGTCTGACATGCGGACGCTGAACTAGAGATCGGATAAACGATTGCTTCCACATGCTATTCAGACGCAAATTCCAATGGCACGTTCTAGGAAGACTGATAGTATGAAGTGAGGCTCTTCGCAAACAAACATGCACCTGGTCTATCACGTGCTTTACCGCCCTCTATTAAGCACTAAGTGGTGTATAAAAAATGATGGTAGCACTCGAACCTCGATTAAAGTGCATCTATAACCGTGCTAATATACATGGAAGTAGGGGTAGTATCAAAAAGACCATGACAGAGTTGGGATAAAGTACATCTTCCAGTCATCCACAGCATAACTTTTACTCTTCATCAATGTTGCCAAGGATGGGCTTCCGCTTCAGCGTCTCCTCATCCTCGCCGTATCCATACTGAACCCACAGCTTCTTCCAGAAGGGAACAGGGACAGGCCTCTCCTCGCCAAGGATGTACTCCGCACCCTCGTCAATGCGCTGGGAACGAGCCTCTTCGTGAGAACAGAGAGTGTAGCGTTGCATACGGGAAGCGATGCGAGGATCCAAAACAACATCGTCCAGCCATTCCCGCTCGTTGTCGCCGTTGGGGCCGGCAGGATCGCGCTTGTGGACCGACTTGTGCCATTCTTGCTCCGCCTCCTCGAGGATGGTCTGCTGTTCGTAGTTTCGGGGCGGGAGGTCTGTTGTCACATCATGGCCAGGGATGGACGTGGGGGTTGTGGTCACAAATTCGGAATCCGAGGGCATGATATCGTCATGGTAGGGTCTGGTGTAGGAGGCAAGGACGGCACCGGCAACCTCGCGGCCAATGTCTTCCGCGAGATGGCGTCGGTTGAGATACCTATAAACTCGGATTGGGGTTTTGAGGAAGCCCAGGAGGTGTGGGAAGGCGATTGGGACGGAGCCATCAAGGGTTTCCGGGAGGGTGGATGGAAGGGTTCGGGATGGGTAATCGGCGGGAGCAATGTATGCTGGAGCCGGGCCTGCCGGTTTCTTTTTCTCCTTTTCCTTTTCCTTGTCATCTTCCTTCTCCTTGTTCTCGGGGGTTTGTTCGTCCTTCTTCTCGGGGGATTCTGCGGGTGTGTTTTCTGGGGTAGTGGGCTCAGGTGCAACCTCTTCCACCGGCGCAGGCGGCGGAGGTGGAGGATCAAGCGGCCCCAACCATCCTTCGTGAAGACCACGGACATATTCCTTCCATGTATGCCGTCCAATCACAATGTCACCCTTAGGACCAGGTTCCTCATAGACCCCCATGCTCTGCCTTGCCGCAGCAATGACCTGTTCAGTGTTTGCCTCTTCCACCACACTGCTCGGCTCACCAGCCTTCCGTCTCAATTTCCGGATACTCTCCGCCGTGCCTGCGCGAATGTCGCCTTCCCGTCGACCCTCAATAACCTGGTAGTCCAGCGCAGCTGCCACCAAGATCGGTTTCACGTATTCCCGGAAGTGATCCCGCGCAATTCGAAGACCGTCACCCGGAGGAGCAGCCAAGTAGACCGTCAACTTGCGCCGTGTCTGCTCAATGGGAATAGTCTCTTTGGAAAGATGAGCCACCAAATCGCACCATTTTTGCTGAGAGCGTTTTCTCTCCCGGCGGTCGTAAACGAGAGCGGCAGCGAAGGAACCGGTGATGGTGAGGAAAATCATCCAATTCCGAGAGGGCAGCTTGAAGCGGAAATTGGGCATTCCTAAAGCATAGTCCATTAGCCTTGTGTATGCACTAAAGAAAAGTCCGCCGGGCCATACCGAGCATCCTCATAGCCGGATTTGGTGCTTTAGGAGCCGGCTTTGGCTGAGCCTGGCCGGCTGCCGGGGCGGAATTGGAGGAGTCCGCCATTGTCAGAAAATAAGAGCTCGAGGGCGTGAAATTGAGCCTGAATGGAGAAGTGGAGGGCCGTCATGATGGCCGGTGCGGTTATCGCCAAAATTCGGTGCTTTCGGAATATGGTTAATCCGGAGTATATCGGTTGGAGTATGCCTTTACTCCGGAAATGAAAGTACTCTGTACAAAGTAGAATGAAAGACTAATTCTGAGCAGATGGTGGATACCTCATTAAATAATTCTCCTAACGATATGACGGGAAATGAATTGTGTCAGATCCATGCCCTATCCTGGTCCTTGCGCATACTTCTTCCGTGACAGCAACGATGCGACAACATAGTGGTATAATAACCTAGATCACACCGTGCCTGCCACGGCCTGGATACAACACGATACTCAGCTAGCGCATCTCCTCTGTTAAATCAAACCAATTCATAGATAATGCTGCACAGTACAAGTGCTGCCATAGTGGCACTCGCCGCCCTCCGTAGCCCCCAGATTTCCCGTTCAGGAGACCAGCCCAGAGCCGCCTCCAGTTTCAGCTCGACATTTGCCTCTTTTTCTCGCCTCTTTTTTTATTGTTGTTGTTGTTGTCTTCTTTTCGTCTGATTTTGTATAATTCTTTTGCTTCTTCCATTTCATCTGTACAGTGAAGCAAGAGGCAACTCCGCTCTTTATTTGCTTTTGCCCCTGGACATCGGGATTTCTGTCCCCCCTCGTCCTATAAACTTCTCCTGAGCCACCGCTCCTTTCGAAACAAAACCCTCTTTTCTCCCCTCCTCCTTCTCCTCCTCCATAACCCCCTCCGTGTCTTCTTCCCCCATACTCTTCTCTCTCGGGGATTTCCTCGCTCGTTTCTTTATTTCCTAATTATCTTGTCTTTCTCTCCCCCATTTATTCTTTGGGGAGATTCTTAACGATGGACCCCAACGGCAATAACAATCGTCTCCACCTGAATTTCGGGTACAATGAGCGTGCATTCAATCCGGCCGCGATGAACAACCGCGCCTATCCTACAACGCCTTCCGCTTTCCCCCAGCCGATTTATCAGAATCAGGGTCCGCAGGATTACGTGGATACCCAAAATGGCGCGTATGGTGGACAAGGATACTTCATGACCAACCCGTACCCGCCGCAGACGCCGCAGTACGCCCAGGCACCTTACGGCCAGCAGATGGCGTCTCCTCAGCAGCCTACCTACCAGAATCGTGTGCCGTTCAACGATGGAACCAATGGATTGATCCAGCAGTTTTCGAACCAGGACCTGAATTCGCCTCGTGGGGGGTTCTTTAATCGCAATGCTTCGCCGGGACAGCGGCCCCGGACGGCAGGCTCTTCTGCTCCCGGCCAGCAGCAGCAGCAGCAGCCACACCTGGTTCCTCCCATGCCTCGCAGCCCCCGGACGCCCGCCGATAATGAGGAACTCCAACGCAACCCCGAGCGAATTTCAGAAAATGTTCACAAGCGTGGAAAAGCTGCCAAGGAGCTGGTCAATGTGTTTTTCCATGAGAACATTGAACGTGCACGGGACCGTAACATGCGGTAAGTTATCATTTTGGCAATTGTTTGTATGCATTTTTGTTTTTTGTTGACTGACACCCGGTTTATTAGTTCCGCGGACCTGGACAAGCTTATTCGTGACCCCGCCGTGCCCAAGGAGAAGAAATGTCAAGACACTGGAGCCGTTTCCATAAGGGAATCCAACTTCCTTCGATTCCTCCGGACCAAGGAAACCCCGAACAACTTCCAGACAATCAAGGTTATCGGAAAGGGTGCATTTGGTGAGGTCAAGCTGGTGCAGCGGAAGACCGATGGCAAGATCTACGCTCTCAAGTCTCTCATCAAGACTGAGATGTTCAAGAAGGACCAATTGGCCCACGTCCGTGCGGAGCGTGACATTCTTGCCGACTCCAAGGACAACCCGTGGCTGGTCAAGCTGCACGCCTCGTTCCAAGACACCGCTTACCTTTACCTGCTGATGGAATTCTTGCCTGGTGGTGATTTGATGACCATGCTGATCAAGTATGAAATCTTCTCGGAGGACATTACACGATTCTACATGGCGGAAGTGATAATGGCTATCGAGGCTGTTCACAAGCTTGGTTTCCTGCATCGGTGAGTGGTCTTGGGTCCTGTGAAGGAATTTGTTGTGGAAATAAACTAACATGGATGAAATAGTGATATCAAGCCTGACAACATCCTCCTTGACCGTGGTGGTCACGTTAAGCTCACGGATTTCGGTCTTTCTACCGGTGGCAAGAAGACGCATGACAACTCGTACTACCAGAACCTCCTCAAGAACTCGACGTCCAAGGACAAGAACCGCAACTCGGGATACTTTAACGACGCAATCAACTTGACCGTGTCAAACCGTGGACAGATCAACACCTGGAGGAAGTCTCGCCGTGCCATGGCGTACTCGACCGTCGGAACACCAGACTACATTGCTCCCGAAATCTTCAACGGCCAAGGGTACACCTACCTGTGCGATTGGTGGTCAGTTGGTGCCATTATGTTCGAGTGTCTCGTTGGATGGCCACCATTCTGCGCCGAGGACACTACCGATACCTACCGTAAGATTGTGAACTGGCGGGAGTGTCTTTACTTCCCTGAGGAACTTACTCTGTCTCGTGAATCCGAACATCTCATTCGAAGGTATGTGGAAATGAATTATCCTCAAAAATATGCACAGTCGCTAATGAATGATTAGTTTCCTGTGTGACCCTGAACACCGTGTTGGTAGCGAAGGTGGCCAATATGGCGGTGCCTCACAGATCAAGAACCACCCCTTCTTCCGCGGAGTGGTCTGGGACCAACTTCGCAACATCCGCGCTCCGTTCGAGCCAAGACTCAGCTCGAACATCGATGTCTCGTACTTCCCCATTGACGAGATTCCACAAGAAGACACCAGTGCCATCCACCGTGCTCAGGCTCGCGCTATGCCGGATGAGCAAGAAGCGGAGATGAGCCTGCCGTTCATCGGATACACGTACAAAGCATTCAACGCCTTCCAGGGCAACTGAACATAAAGCCGATTTCCGAGTTTATAGACCGACCACGAACATTTGTCTTTTTATTTTCGTCTTGATTCCCCGGGGAGCCTGAACGCAGGCAGTTGAAACTGGTTGATTGTTGATGTCATTGAGCATATAGCGCATTCTATTTCCTTGTGATAATGACCTGTGCATATTCCCATTCCTGATTTCGTCTTTTGCATATATGATGCCTACATCTGTTGTTTTGGCAAAAGACTACATACGAGTGCATTGTTGATTTGGACATCAAGATTTGTGACATATCTAAGTACAGACCTTATGAATCGTGCAGAGCACTACATGAATGCAGTATAGTCATGTACCGGACTTCTTCCAATTTACCATATGAGAGCGTATGCTGGCTTCTACCATAAGGATGCCATGTTGATTAAGCATATTATTATAAACACAGGTCAATCTTGAGCAAATTCCAGTAAGGATCCTTAAACACCAAGCGCCGGAAACAGATAGCATGATTTTGTACAAGATCATGTCCTAGGTCCGTCCCATGGGTGCCAAACCAGGAACACCACTAAACCTTTCCTCACGCTCCGTCTTGAACATAATCTGAACCCAAAACTCCTTACTATCCTCATCAAACCAGGTCCAAAACCTCCCGTCCCTGCGATCAATCTCCCTCGCCTGCAACTTAAACCCACAAGTCTGATACGGCTCCGCAGCCACAACCAAATACTGGAAATTTTTATCCGGCGGCTCCTCAACCTTCTGCTCAAACGCAGACATAAACCTCACCCTCGGCGCAACCCCGGGCGTAATCTCTTGATACTGCAGCTGAAACAACAACCCAACCTGCCTCGTCAACGGATCCTGCACCTTGGTAATCTTATACCCCGGCCGCCCAATCTTAATCGTCTGCTTCTTCACCTGCACCCCCATAGCCCCCGGCAACGACGAAGGGTCCTGATTCTTGCCCTCGCGCTGCTCGCGCGCCGCGCGACGGGCCAGGTTCGTTTGGTGCTTGCGGCCCTGCGTGTGGGCGAGGTACGAGCCATCATTTTGGTGGACTGTCAGACACAGGCGGCACTCGAAGCTGCCGACGTGGTTTTTGAAGAAGTAGGGGTCTTTGTCGAGGTCGATAGTTTCGAGGGCGAGTTTGCGGAGGCGTTCGCGACGGTCGGCGTTTGTGGCAGAGTGGGAGGCTACGCCTCCGCCGCCGAATTTGGAGCCTGCTCGGTTCTACTCTTGTTAGTATACTTCTTCTTCTTTTTTTTTTTTTTTCATTTATAGGGGGGTGAGGGTGTACTCACTTGGTAATCCATCTTGGTGGTTGATGGGAAGCTGTTGATATGGCAAAGCTCGAACGAATGATCCAGCGAAGATCCGCGTTGGGATTATGTAAGCGGATATAGCGCTGCGATTGGATAGCCCCAGGATAGCCAACGAGCTTATTCCCATCAACTGATATCGCTGATTATATAGACCATAAATCTATGGACAATGGACTTCGCTGTGAACCAGCGCCGGTCATACGATGGTAACCTGTGTACGATCCGTTATGTGGGTAAAGTCGAGGGGACCAGCGGCGACTGGCTGGGCGTGGAATGGGATAACCCAACCCGGGGGAAGCATTCGGGGGAGCATAATGGAGTGAGATATTTTACATGTATTTCCTCAGCCCCTGGATTGGGATATTTGAGTGATGCTAATGGACATCAGGCAGGAATAAGGAAGCTACGCCGGGGTCATTTGTGCGTCCGTCTCGACCGGCGGATAAGCTTAGAGGATTCCTCGAGGCGTTGAGGGAGAAATACGCATCTGAGTTTGTGGATCAGGAGCTTGCGCAACAGAAACAGGGTGGTGGTGACTCCCTCCACGACCCGATCAAGTTCAGCAGCAAGGTTGTCGAAGAAGTTGGCTTCGACAAGATCAGGAAGAAACTTGCCGAGTTGCAGGAATTAAAGATCGTCTTGCTGGATGGGCTGCGTGTTGCTGGTGTCCAGGCAGAGGATGGGACTCAGAAAACAGGAGGGGTGGAGGGGAGAGAGGAGGCATGCCGCAGGATTGAAGAGACCTGTCCGAAGATTGCCCAGTTGGATCTTAGTCGGAGCTTGGTCAGTCGATGGAGGGACGTTAAGGATATATGTGCGCGGCTTGAGCGGTTGAGGGTATTGAAGTTGAAGTAAGTTGCATTTCCCGAATGGTTACTCATAGTATACTGACTTGGACAGTGGGAATCGATTTGGGGCGGTTGAGGAGAGCCTTAGATTTGAGGACATTGCGGAGCTACATCTGAATGAGACTCTTCTTTCCTGGGACGAGGTATGTTGATGAGTTTGGTATACTGAGTGATTGTCTGCTAACATGCTCAGGTATCGACATTATCGTATCAATTCCCGGCGCTGACATTGCTGTCAGTGTCTATGAACCAGATGAACGCGGTGTCGACACCTATTTCGGAGACCATCACCACATTAATACTGGAGCACAACGAATTCGACTCGTTGTCATCTGTGAGAAAGCTTACAGCTCTTCCCAAGCTGGACCGTCTTTCGTTACGCGGAAACTGCATCGAAAATATTAACCGTCCCGGTGCAGCCGAAGACCTTATTCAATTCTCCTCCAGCCTCGAATTCGTCGATCTATCATACAACAAGATCAACTCGTGGTCATTCCTAAATTCACTTCCCCTCGTCTTCCCCGGACTACGATCCCTCCGCATATCCGGGAACCCCCTATACAACCAACCCGTGGCATCAACAACCATCACAAACATGCCCGAGAAGCCAATGACTGTGGACGAAGCATACATGCTCACTCTCGCACGGCTGTCTTCCATCCAAATACTCAACTACGGCAACATCACCCCACAGGATCGGACTAATGGTGAGCTTTACTATCTTTCACTTATTGGCAAGGAACTCTCTGCATCACCGGAAGATGCAGAGCAGGGTATCCTGGCGAAACATCCTCGGTACCGGGAGCTCTGTGAGAAACACGGCGAGCCGGTTATCAGACGGGCAGAGGAGAAGTCAGGTCGTGCAGTGAACCCCCGATCTGTCGCAGCGCGATTAGTCAAATTGGCATTCCGTCTATCATCACAAGAACAAACCATCAAAACCAAAGAAGTCCCACGTTCTTTCGATACATACCAAGTCAAAGCTCTCGTCTCCCGCCTCTTTGGCCTGACACCGTTTGAATTCCGGTTAACCTGGGAGACCGATGAACTGGATCCGGTAAGCAAGGTAAATAGGGAAGAAGAGGAATGGGATAGTGAAGATGAGGGGATGGATAACGGGGATGCTGCAGGGGATGAGACAAAGTTTGTTAAGAGAGAGGTTGAGTTGGTGGATTCTATTAGGGATATTGGGTTTTGGTTGCAGGATGTTGATGAGGCGAGGATTAGGGTGGATTTGTTGAGTTGATGAGATGTGATATTATGAGTTACGATAGAATAGACTTGTATATGTTTTGAGAATGAACTGTTGATATACCAAGGACTTTATGAACAGAGGATGACCTGTGACGCGCTATACCCGATCAGGACAATTACGTCCATCGCCCGCAGATATCGCATTGCTATCAATCATGATCCTATCAACTGCGATATACCCAAACAACCATGGCGGAATACTGGAAATCAGCAGTAAGTGTTACCTTCCTTCTTATCTACTATCATATCCTGCTAACAACATCAGCCCAAATTCTGGTGCAAACAGTGCAAGATCTACATCCGCGACACCTCATTCGAGAAATCCCAACACGAAGCCAGCGCAAAACACCAATCCAGCCTAAAGCGCTTCCTCCGCGACATTCACCGCGACAACGAGCGCGAACAACGCGATTCACAAAGAGCAAAGAATGAAGTCGAACGATTAAAACAAACCGTCTCCGGCAATGGGCCGCCCGGGAAACGGACCGCCGCTCCTCCACCGCCGTCAACACACGAACGACCGGGTTCGTTGGATGAAAGGAAGAAGCAGATGGCGCAGTTGGTGGAAATGGGCGTTGCGATTCCGGAGGAGTACAGACGGGATATGGCGCTGGCGGGTGATTGGCAGACTACCTCTGTGAAGGTGATTCGGGATGATAACGAGGAAGGGAATCCGGCAGCAAAGTCAATTGGGGTCCGCAAGCGCAAGGCTGAAGGAGATGCGGATGGGGAAGAAGAACAGGAGGAACCTGAACGATTTGTTAGTAAGGGATGGGGGTCGACAGTGCGGAAATACCCCGGTGCTCAGAGTGAAGATGAAGATCTGGACGCGCTTCTTGCGTCTACGAAGAATGTTAAGAAGGTTAAGCCTTCTAAGGAGGATGAGGGGCCGGAGGAGGAGGGTGTGAAGAAGGAAACAGCTGATGATGGTGCCCCGACGAAGAGTGAAGGTGAGGAGGCTGCTGCGCCGGCGCCGGAGTCTGAGCAAGCTTCTATCAAACAAGAAGAACCGTCCGATACCACTTCGGCTCCTGCACCGGTCAAGAACGAGACTGAAGAGCCAGAACCGACAGGAGGAGTGGTATTCAAGAAGCGCAAACCAAAGGCTATGCGGAAATAATTGTAATGGATTCGTCTCGTTAACATCAATCGTGAATACCTATAATGAAAATCGCGACGGTCTTCTCTATCTACTGACACTACCTGGTCAAGAGCTAACCGAAGAGGTGTATCGAGTGTACGGAACAAGTCTTGAGGACGGCCTGCTCATGACTACTATAGTTTAACTGAAGTAAACAGCTTACTGATGCTATTCACGAGCAATGTTTAATAACTTATGTCTAGAATATCAATAAATAGTGTCAAGCGTATGGTCTTTTTTTTTTTTTTTTTTTTTTTTTTTTTTTATAGTTGAAATGCACTGTAGTAGATATATATTTTTTGGTCCCCAGTATGGAGTATACAATTGACAATTGATGTATTTAATACTTTCGGAAAAATATAAATTTCAATTTAAAGGCCTCTTACAATGAAGAATAAATAAATATTCCAGTGGTGTTGCTATATAAAAGTGTTGTTTTGAGTCTCACTATTTACTGCTATTCACAGCGTTTGGTTGCCACTGTCTTTTTTTTTTTTTTTTTTTTTTTTTTTTTTGTCCGGACTTCATCTTGTTCTCTCCCGGAGCTCAGTCAGTCCAGCTCGCGCAACAACTTCGGGGGTGCATCACTCTTTTCTCCTCCTCTCTATTGTTTTCCTCACACTTAAATGGGCAGAGTATCCTCTTCGGTCCCGAGTTCGCGAGATCTGGTGGAATAGAATTTATTCGGCTCGCTTTTTTCTTTTTCGCTTAATCGACGAGTACAAAGTCTCCCTGGTAAGTAAACGAGCTACGACCTGACCTGCTTTGATCTCTCCTCCCCGTACGCCATGATATCTGCTCTCTCGGACGCTACGGTCATTTGCTTCTCGAAGAATACTATTGCCTTTCCATTGTCCGGACCTGCACGAGGGAAGATATCTGCATTGGGGATGTATGTTATGTCGCGAATTGCGTCGACCTCCGCCATGCGGAATTGGACATCCCCGGTCGCGTTCAGCCCCCATTTGGATACCACGGCCTGTACGCGGTTGGCATACGGTCTTACACGGAGGAGGCTTTGTGTATGGCCAGGTTGAAAAGGGTTGGAGAGCTCTTATGCTGGGTTGGCAGTTTCTGCGCCTGCAGTTGTCTCCGGCTACGATGCGGTCCCCCATTTCCGATCTGCAAATATTGCACGAAACAGCAGAATTTATCATTTCTTTCTCTTCTCTTCTTGACAATGGAAATGGTCGACAGTTACCGTGTCTGAATGCTGGCGTTGGCATGCTCAATCTTGAGTTACGGTCTTAAGACTAACGATTCTGGTTTTCCTAGAAAAAAAATTCGACAACCGCTCTTCCGATCAGTGACCTCTGCACCACGCGAATACCTCGAGGAAATCCACTCGGTTCCCTGGATTTTGCCTGGAATAAAATAATTGTTGGATATGACGGAGTCTACAGAATCTGCCAACCCACCTGGCGAGTCGGCCCAGCAGCAGTCGACCGAGTCGCAGAATGTCCCAACCGCGGAGACAACGAGCGCACCGGCCGCTACAGAATCGTCCATTCCAGCGCTACCGACAATAGATTCGAGTTTGCCAGCTATTGATAAGACCATGCCACCCATGGATTCGTCATTACCCGCGTTCGATTCATCCTTACCGGCCTTCGATTCATCGGTACCAGCGCTGCCATCGATCGATACTTCCTTGCCTCCGCTGGATACGACACTACCTGCTGAGGTCAATCTACATACGGACCACTCATTCTTCTCTGAGCTGAGACACGACGATACTCAAGGTGCACAGTCGGAGGCTTCTACATCTGCGCCTGGAGAGTCCAACGGTGACCTGCAGCAGGCAGATTCGTCTCATGAATCGACCCCTGCAAATCAAACAAATCAGCCGGCTTCTAATGGCACCTACCAATACCCTCAGCAGCAGCCACCGCAGCATCAAGCTCCACTACCGCAGCCGCAAGGCCAGGAGCAACAACCGCAACAACCGCAACAACCACAAGCACAGCAAAGTCAACAGCCGCAACCACAGACGCAGCCGCAGCAACAATATCAACAATATCAGCCACCACAACAACAAACACAGCCGCAGCCGCAGTATCAACCGCAGCAACAACCACAGCAGTATCAACAAGCTCCCCAGCAACAATATCAACCACAGCAGCAGTACCAGCAACCGCAACAACCGCAGCAATATCAGCCGCAATATCAACAGCAAGGCAGCCCACAAGGAGGTCAACCCATGAATACCGGTACCATGGATCACAATGGTGTCCAAGGGCAGCAGGCGCATGTCCCCCAGGCCCCTATTGGGTCCCCCATGCCGTCAAACTCGCCGCCAATGTCTTCGGCAGGTCAATATATGACAGGTTACCCGACGAATGTGTCGCAAATGAACAACGCCCAGATGCGCTACCAGCTCCCAGGAGACCCTAATAAAATGATGTCGAGCAGACACAAGAAGGAGGTCAAGCGCAGAACGAAGACCGGTTGTCTGACATGTCGCAAGCGAAGAATCAAGGTATGTGACGAATAGAAATCTTGAACATTTGCAAAACCCTAGATATGACGGTCGTTTGGACAAGCGATGCGGGCGCGGGGATCTCTCGCTTGTTCTGCAAATCGCCCACCGCAAACCCCGCTATTCTTGTCGCCCGCGCTGGCCGAGTCGCTTGTTTTTCCTTCCTCACTTTTTTAATCATTCACCCTTTTGCCTTTTTTTTCTTTCTTATTTTTTCTTTTCTCTGGGTTGGTTGCTTATTGTCGCGTCTTTTCTAATTGCATTTCTTTTTATTGTCTCTTCTAGTGCGACGAAGGGCATCCTGTTTGTCGAAACTGCGTCAAGAGTAAACGAGACTGTTTAGGTTACGACCCTGTCTTCAGACCGCAATCTTCGACGCCTTCTGCGATTCAACCGGCTCCCAATCCGTCTCCTTCGCTGGTTGTCACTCCACAGGAGCCCCCCGCTGGCGCCTCCTACCCTGCGGCGCCTCCTGGCTACGTACCTGCAGTCTCTCAACCTTTTGCACCGTCCCTACCCTCCGAGTCGTCTGCGCCGTCGTCCACGGAGCAAAGTCAATTCAATTACAGCGCGGCCATTGACCCATCGTTGGAGCAGAATAACAATCCTGGGAACATGGCCAGCGTGCAGCATGCGGCAAATGTCACTGATGGGTTCTATCAAGCCCCCATCAATGCGAGCGGTAGGTTATGTTCTCTTGGTTTTCCAAGTATCCTGCGTTTACTGACATTCGCAAAGTAAAACAAGTTCAGATTAGCGACCTTCTTGCGCTTAGAGGCATCCCTCCTCCGCCTCCTCATCCCGTCACTGCTCTCCCGCCTGGTCGCCTCGAAGAAATCCAAGCTGTTTTCCTCGCGACATATGCTCCCGCCATTGATCGATTTTTCGAGACCCCGTGGTTCCAAGAGAAGGCGCTACCTCATGTTATGGCGAACGCGCAACTTATGGCTGAATATTCCGCATTGATCGACGCGTTCAATGACCGAAATCTCGAGGATCCCAATGTTGTCGCTCGATTGGAGAGCTTTGAGGCATCGGTAATTTGGAGCACCATAACCTTGTGCCGCCACGTGATGAACATGTCGAACGGAAATTACGGGCAAGACTTTGATCTGCTGGCGGCTTCGAAGCGCCTCGATGTCATGGAGGCCTTACTTACCGGCGACCACGTGGAAACCAACCCATTGGAGCAATTTCCCGTTCGTCAACCCGCAGCCGACCCGCCAGCGCTTACCGTTCAGATCACACAGCGGTCATTGGATTTCTGGAGTTGTCTTGGCCACTTCTTGACTCTACACGATAACGAAGCCAGTTCCGCCAAGGAGATCGATGACACATTGGCGCGTTGCCGGACCCTTCTGGACACGACTGAAAACCGTGACGTGATCTACTCGATTGCTATTGCCCGCCACCTTGGACAACGGTGGGCAGATTTCCCGCACAGTCTTCCCCAGCCGATCACGACCAACGAGAAAGATGCGGGAGCGAAACTGTTTGTGGCGCAAAAGTTTCTTGAACAGCAAGCCAACGGAAGCGGTACCACGCAGGTCTCGAAACGCATATGCGGGATGGCCGTTCGGTCGTGGTTTGTGTCTCGGGAGTAGGTGTGCACATAATTTTCTCTTCTTTTCTTTCTTGCTTCTTTTTCTTCTTGCTGCATATTGTACCAAAAGAAAAGCGTTTTGCATGTTTTCTTTTTCTTGTTTTTCTGCCTGTCAATTGGGGTGGCGGAACCTGACGCTTGACGCATATACGTCTTTTCTTATTTTTCTTATGAGTCTTCTGGGAGGAGACTTTTAGAGGGTTATGGAGTTTGATTTTCCTTTTTCTGTCTGCAACTGGGACATATATGACAGACTTCTGGCGTTCCGGGTGCATTTCCCTTCCTCCCACTACCATATCTGTGTATAGGTATATCTGGGTCTTCTTGTCTTGCTTGGATAGGAGGCTCTCTGAATTTAGATAAATTGCTTATATTGCTTATAACATTTACAATGAAATGATCATTCAGATTCTAGCGGGATGAAACCAGATCTATGTCCTAATGCACATGAAAAGAGATTTATACTACGGTATTACAAGCGCCTCTGCTACTCACATAAATCTACTTGCTGCCTATTGACATCTACCGGGACAGCGGAACACCTGCAAGGCTCAATCGATCCCTCACACAATACCGATTTACCAGTAGGCCGGAACTAAACATCTAATAGCGATGAGCCGATAGGTATGCAGCACATTAATTTCATTATTCGCATTCACGTTACATCGACACGGTAGAGCCAACCGACATCGAGCAGGGGGCATCGAGCTTAGAGGCCATTGGCTCGGGAATCCAGTTCAGGAAAAAGGGGGGTGGGTGGATGGTATGACTTATATGAGCAATTTACTGTATATAGCAGCATATACAGAGAGCTATGTTTTGGCGTGGTAAACAGTTTATCTGTGGTATGTTGCGGCAAGGTAGGTTGTTGTTGTGGTGATCCCGAAAGGGTAAGACCATGGTATGATGTCATGTGACCGACCTTCGTTGATAATTTTGGGGGAAAAGAAAGCTAAGAAAAGAGAGCATTGTGAAGTGGCAGCACTAAATTAATTATTAATAGTTCAACTACACTAACTAACTAATTAACTATGGCCTGTACAGTAGACGTAAAAGTACAAGGGTGACAGCTGCTGACTCAGATCTGACAAAGAGTCATAACTGCTGACGCGAGACAAGCATTGAGCATTCCAATCACACCTCTCCTCCATAGTCTCGATCTCAGGTCACGGTGGCGCAAGATCTACGGAATAGAGATTCAACGACTAGACCGTGGAGAATGCTCTGACTAGAGCTGGATGAGCACGCAGGATGCAAGCGTCCTCCTGCCTGGGTGTACTATGTAGGGTACAGTTACAGGGCAGGAGGTTTGGGATAAGAATAGTACGTTTACCGTCAATTGACGGGTTGACTGCTCGCACGGCAAATTGGAACTGACAGGCATGAGCAGGACATGAAACCATTACTGAATTACTCCAAGCCTTTGTTTATGCACAGTGGATCGCCGTGAACTTAGTACTGTGTACCGGTTCGCATAACAATGCTCCATTCCTGGCTCCATTCCAAGTCGCAGAGATGCATCAACAAATGTCAGTCGGGGTCGAGTGGTATTCCACGTCTATACCTCTTTGGGCAATGTTTTGAATATCGCAACGTTACGAGTAGTACATAATTGTGCTGGAGAATGATCGCCTCCACCCCCCTGGTATCCGGTTGCCATTATCATTTATTCCCAACGGAACCTCTCTTGCCTTCGGCTTCGACTTTCTTTCTCTTTTCTTGTCGTGTAGAGGTAATAGGTAGGTAGTCGGCACCTGGCAGGTCTTTTGCCCCTTCTTTCGTTCTTTCGTGTTTCTTTCCCCCCTGTCGTTCAGTCGTTCCTTAATATTGTCGACCAGTCATTCATTTTTTTTTTTTTTTTTAATTTTATTATTATTATTATTATTATTTTTTTTTATCTCGACCTAACCAACCTGACCAAGCCCATCGACATCATGGCGCCGACTAGATACACGCAGGGACACCAACTGACCGAAGGTCCGGATGGAGAGGGGCATGCACTGGCTGCAAGACATTCCGACAGCATAGTGCAGGGCTACGGCACCAGATCCTACGACGATGGTAACTACCACCCATCCGGCTACGGCGAACAGGGTCAACAGAACACTGGCTCTCAAAGCTCTGGCTCTCAGTACAGTGGTTCCCAGTACGGCAGCTCGCAGAACACCGGTTCCCAGAACACTGGCACTTACAACAGCGCCCAGTATGGCGGATCTCAGTATGGCGGATCTCAGAACACCAACTCGCAAAACACCAACTCGCAAAACACCAACTCGCAAAACACCAACTCGCAGAGCAGCGGCTCCCACAGCAGCGGTTCCTACCAGCAGAATTCCAACGCCCAGAATGCCGGCCAGCAACAAAGCCAACAAGGGGCGTCCAACAGTGGCTACTCCCACTCCGGACAGGGCGTTCCGGGGCAGCAACAAGCGTACTCTGACACTGCCAACACCAATGGTCAACAGCAAAGCTCCGGGTCGCAGCAGAACGCACAGGATCCGCACTCCGAGGCAAGCCAGCAAAGCCCGTCGAACGCCAACCATGAACAGTCTTCCTACAGCAACAACCAAGCCGCTGAATCGAGCCACAAGCAACAAGACAACGCCGCAGACTTCTCGAGCAGCCATGTCTCGGATGAGCACAAGGCAGACAAGGCACAAGAAAACAACAACCATGTTGCCCCGGCCGAAACCGTGCAAACTGCCCAGCAACCCACACATACCCTTCCCACGATGACCAGCGTGACCACGCACCCAACATCTAGCCTCACGACCTCGGCGACTATAACGGAGAGCACCCATACCATCTTGCCCAGCACCTCGTCCACATCGTCGGCCACTTCCTCGCCGACACCCGCCGCAGCGAAAGACTCGGACGATGGGTCATTTCAAAAAGCAACCGGGGCACTTGCTGGTCTCCTTGGTGTCGCACTTGTCGCAGGCTTCGTGATCTTCTGGATCACCAGGAGAAAGCGACAACAGAAGGGCGAAGCGAATCGATCTAGGATGGTTCAAGATGCCTTCCGCCAGCCCTATGTCGACACCAAGCCGCGTAGTTCGCAATTCTACACCAACTTCCTCGGTACCGCTGTTGGGACTGGTGCGAGCGCGCTGGGCGCGGTTCGCCGCTCCCTCGCCATGTCGAAGTCCAACCATCACCACCAGAAATCGGAGAAGGAACCCATGCCGGAGCAGGGCCATATCCACCATCCCTGCGATGACGGTATCTACGTCCGTGGCTGTGATGTAGAAGAGAGATCCGGTCATGACTCTGACCGGAATGACTCTATTGCGGCAGAGAAAGCGGCCATCAACGAGTCCACTCCGACCCTCGTGGTGTCGCCAAGCGAAACCATGGCACGAGACCAAACTCCAACCGTCCGGCGAGTGATTTCTGGTCGGCCCCAGATGGAAAGCTCCGAATCGGTTGAACCGAAATCTGGACTCTCGCACAACACCCAGGAGGGCGAGGCGGAGTCAAGTGACAAAGCCCAGGAAATCAACCTTAGCACCCACTCTCCGCCCCCGGACAATGCAGCTCAGGAAAATGGACCGCCTCCCCGCAAAGGCAATGGACAGAACTTGTTGGCAATTACCAGTATGGTGCCGTCTTTGTCCGGCATCTATCGGGTTGAGATTGCGTTCCAACCTAAGAAGGTTGGACAACTGGATCTCTGTGAAGGTCAATCTATTATCATCCGTCAATATTTTGACGATGGATGGGTAAGTTCTTTTCCCCCTAAACTCTCGCCACATCGGAATTAACTAACCAAACCTGCAGGCTCTCTGTGTCCCGGCAGATGGCGGCCAAGAAGGCCTGGCACCTCGTGCCTGTCTGTCACCATGGCCCATCAAGAACGCCCCGTCCACCAGCTCTTCTAACTACAACGTGAGCGATGGGTCACGGACACCAGAGTCTCCCACTGCACCCGGGACACCACGATTCTACTCGCACTTCTACTCTGCTAGGAGCGTAACTCAATGATTGTACCGGCGTTCTCTTTTTTCTTCTTTCGTGTTTCCATTTCGTTTTTGATGGCAGGCTTTCTGGATGTGTTGCTGCGCTTTGAAAGTGCTGGCGCATGTATCTTGGTTACATTTTTTTTTTAGTTGGATACCTTTCTTCTTCGCTCATTTATCTTGCTTTTGTTATTCCTGGGACAGGAGGTTCAGGATTACTTTGTAATGTAGTGACTAAAATGAGAACTTTGCACTCCTTACTTGCATTCAAAAACCCCGTGTATTGTATCTCCATACATTCAGGAATGCATAAACAGCACCATGGCATTAGAAGGAAAAGACATTCAATCATATGCACAGCACAAGTACTCTCACCCAGGCTTGTGATACAAAAAAGCAATCAAGAATAAACCAGCTGAACAGATCCAACTACCACATTCTCATACTCTAACTGAGCAACTCCACCCTTAACCCCAGTAGTGCCTTTTCACTTCCTTAGTACATCCCAACTCTTTAGACCCGAAATTCTGAATCCCACGCACACAAATCCCATACATTCGTCTCGTTGTTCTTTTCAATATATCTCCCCCCATCCGTAATCTCCACCATAATGCTCGATGTTGTCCCCATTAATTGCTGACATGTTTGCCACACGCACCTGCCGTGCACCACTCAGAAGCTCCTCTGCGGAATGGATCCGCTTCAAAGAAGTTAGTGAGGAGGTCGTATTGGCATTTTGCATTTAGTTTCACGGAGGAGATGGAGGAGAAATCGTTTTCACGCTTGTGAATTGTCGATCCTGGCTCGAGGGAGGCCGCCGATGGCGCGGCTAGGGCCGGGGCAAGGGAGAAGGCCGCAAGGAGAACCATGGAGGCTTTGGCAATCATTTTGATAATTGGTGCAGACTACTTTGAAGCAAAGTTGTTGTAGAGTGATTGGTTTGGTTTTGTCTGGTTGGAGAATGAAGACTGGATTGTTATCGAGTTGAGTCAACTGATAGACGTTGTTTTTATAGCGGATTCTGACCCCATGCTGTGTTAATTGTTGTGTTTGTTTATTGTTTTGTTTGTGACTGTTGAAACGGTTTGTGGTGGTACTAGCTGTTGGCACTTAGGGCTTAAAGGAGGACATTTACTTTCTCTTTGCGCTAGTACCATCTTTGTTGGGTTCAATAGTTTCGTTTGAAAAAAAGAGGATATGTGTGCTATAGTGTTTCAAAATGGTCTGGCTACGGCGTATCGCTCCTAGCGAGGTGGTTGTCACATGGTGTGTATAGATCTCAGTCTTACTGATAGGTCGAAAAGGGAATGCTGAGTAGCGCAAAGCTATCCTCTACAAGGTAAAAATTCAGAGTAGATAAGAATGATTCAGAATGTGGTAATCATGCATTGATAACTCCATACAACAGTTGAACTCATGCTAAATAGACCGTTAAACGCCACCCAAAACCAAACCATTCTATGCACATAAGAGAATAAAAGAGAAACGAAATCACTCGTAAGTCACCTTTAACGACCCCAACTCCTTACCCCCATGGTCCAACTTAGCACTCCCCCCCTTAACCCCAGTAGTAGTAGCACCCTTCGTCCCCTTCCAATACGTCTGATCCTTAGTACACCCATCCCCCTTAGTCCCATAATTCTCAACCGCATACAAACAGAACCCATTCAACGCCTCATCATTCTTCTGCAACTCCTTCCGGTGACAGGTCCTGCGTGACGACGGGGGCCGGGGGTGGGTTTGAGAGTACGTCAAATCGGTATGGTAGAGGGCTTGGGGCTGCTGGTGCGGCGAGGGCCGAAGGGGCAGCGGAGAGGATGGCAAGGAGGACGAATTTGGTGACTATTGTCAAAGAGTTGTATGTATGAAGTGTTTGAGGTGGTAGTAAAGTTGTAGTAGAGTGGTTGGTTTGGTTTGAATTCTTGATTGGAGAGCGGATTGAATTGTGTTGTCGTTGATGATGAGCCCAATCAAACGGTGCAGACGTCGCTTTTATACTCAATTCCACCTCCATTGTATAGTTCATTCAACCTTATGTTGGTTATTTTTACTCTGTAAGGCACAGTCTGCCTTCGTTTGTCCATTAGCCTTATGGCGGAACGGGCCGTGCACTTCCGACGTCGGCGCTAGGGCTCAAGGCTGACCGGACCCTTTTTTGCACTCGTACTATATTTGATTGGCTTGATATTGGTGTTAATTAGAATCTACTTGGCAAAGTCCCATTCATCAATGAGGAAATACAGAATCTGCCTCGCAATGGCATGGGCCGGCAATAGCCTGCATTTAATTACTTGGTATGGAGCTCTCAGTCCCTAAATTCTGAAAATCCAATCTGTAAGTCATTGCCATTTTCCTGCCCGGGGCTTGTATTCTTGTACAGTATTGTCGTTACCATCTTTAGTTCCCCAAAGGCTATGATGGAAGAGCATCATTATATTTGTGTCGAACACCAACTAAAATCACAAATGTAAAGCCATCAAGATTAAGCACACCAAACAACCACCCTAAATCCAAATACACTCACCACCTCCTCACAACCTTCGTCTCCATATTCATCCGCCAGTCCTCGTTATCACCTTCATCCTCATCCTCATTTCCATGCCCATTCCCAGACCCAGACCCAGATCCGGCTCCTCCATTAAAAGCCAACAGATTCGGACTCCCCGAAGTCCTCGCAACAGCATCATTCGTCCCCAACTCCTTCAACCGTTTAGTTGCCGCACTCGCATCAGCCAGATTCTCAAGGCTCATTACGTAAATCGCCAACCCGACAACATGTGGCGTCGCCATCGATGTTCCAGAGATGGTGTTGGTAGCCGTGCTGTTGCCGATCCAGGCGGAGAGGATGTCGACTCCCGGAGCGAAGATGTCGACTACGGAGCCGTAGTTGGAGAACGAGGCGCGGGAGTTGTTGCGGTCGATGGCGGCCACTGTGAAGGCGTTTTCGGCGGAGGCGGGGCTGGTGAAGCGGGCGTTCATCTAGATGCACGATTAGTATACGCTTAGTAGTATGGATAGGGGAGTGGATGTACATTTTCATTACCGGCTGCTACGACGGAAAGAACGCCAGAGTCGTATGCGTTCTCGACGGCTCGGTTGAAGGCAAATGAGTATCCGCCGCCTGTGCGATTAGCCTACTTCCACCTTGAAGCGTAAGTGAGAACTCACCCAAACTCATATTGATAGCCGCTTTGCCAGTCCGCTTCTTCGTAGCGATATCATTAGCAGCCCAATTGAACCCATCCAGAATATCCGACGTCCGGCCAGACTCTCCCGCAAACACCTTCACAGACAGCAAGTTTGCCTTCTTAGCAACCCCAAACGTAGTACCGCCAATGGTCCCCGCAACATGCGTTCCATGACCCACAGTGTCGACATGGTCAGAGTTATCGACAGCGTTGTAGGCGAGACTGGCACGGTCACCAAATTCTCGGTGGCTGACATTAATGCCTGTGTCTACTACATAGCCAAAGGTGTCTTCGCCGCCTCTGTCGTCGTAGACGTAGGTTGTGCTTGGTTCGCCGCGGTGAGAGATACTGCCTAGGCCCCAGGGAGCGTTGTTTTGGGAGAGGATGGCGTCGAGGTACCAGATTTGGTCTTGTTCGACGTGCTCTACCTGATAATTATTAGAAGTGGTATTTATGTGCATGGATGTTGGAAACAGACATCTTCATTATCCCGGATCTCCTCGATGGTAGCATCATCAAAGGATCCATAGTACGCAGAAAAGCGGGTGAACTTGTAACTCTTCTCAATACCAATAGGAATAAACGCGTCATCTGCGTGATCACGTCGCTCAAGATGGCGTTTGTGCAGATTCGTTGCCCACGCAGTGTGAGCATCAACCTTTGCCGTGTCTAGGCCGTGCTTGAAGGTGACGATGTATCTTCCGGGAATATTCTCGGGAGATCGATGCCTCCCTTGCATCATGGGATGCCCGAGAGCAGCTGGGAGCAATGCTCCGAAAAGCAAGAGGGCGCGTTTGAAAAGCTGCATGGTGTGACTGACTTGGAGCAAAAACTTGAATGACAAGATTGTAGGTTAATCAAAGTCAGATCCGTCAATCGCAGCATATTTATAAGTTTCGAATCCTTGCCCGTTATTGAGCCTCTGACATGTTAATCTCACTTGATGAGCAAATGTATTGTTGCACGAAGGTGCACCCTCGAAGCCAAGAAGGTGACACTGCAGCTCCAGGGCTGTCCTCCGTGCTCTACCTATAAGGTTATCTATGCATATAATGGATTTGCAGCTGACTACACCCTCAGCACCATCCCCGCAATCGGGAAATATGCCCATGTGCTCATATCTTGCCGCGAGGGCTTAAAAAAGTTCCTGTATCCGAAGCCTGCTATCTCAAAATTAGAAGTGCCCGAGTCCTGGAGATATCTCGTGGTAGGCGACACGCAAGCTCGTTCCTACTCTCACATCCACTGGCTGTTAGTGTCGTGCAAGTGAGTTTCGAAATGTCTAAGGCCGACTAAACCCGTACGAGGCTTGCAGACCTTAGACTATGTGGCTCTGCTGTAATATCCTGCTGGGATTATTCAATGTCAGCATCGCCAGTGTAATAACAAACGGCTGCCAACGACTGCACAACTTATCTGGAACGTTGACGAGCTAAGACGCCCGGAAGATTTAATTCCCATGGATCATTGAAGCTTGTGATAAGGCGGTTGCACCTTGTAAATCTCCGCAATATTGCGAATATCATATGCCAATCAGCATGTGAAAGCCATTCCAAATGTTCTCTTCATTCTAGTATATATCGAGCGGCCATGACAACCAAGGGGAAAATGAGCGGCGACTCCGAGTAAGAATATGGCGGTAACAATGCCGTGCATATCAAAGGATTTCTAACAGTACCAAGGCTGTAAATTGAACTGGCTAGCAGCAAATATCTTCTCGAACGTGAAGTATCCAGCATTTGTCATTCCAGCAGCCTCTTGGCCTTGGCATCAGGGTCTATGTCAGGGCGGCAGTGTCAAAGAAGCAACAATACGGACTCGATTCGGGACCGACCCCAGGTACATAGTGACATGTTTGCTATGTAGTCCGAAGTACTGGTTTGGCAGGACGAAATCTCAGCAGGAAGGATGATCAGCGAATCAGCGGATGCAGTAGTGACAGGGAGGCAAGAAATGTTGCATTCTGGGCAAGTAACCCGAGGCTAGTCAGCCTTGCGTCGGGGTATTCTGTGGGTATATCCAAGTTACTGCCGCGATGCTGACGACTGGGATGGTGGTGATGTGGTGAGAAAAGAGGGGGAGGAGAGGGGAGGTTGCACGGAGACACGTGATTTCACGAGACGGTCAAGTGTGCAATGCATGCAATGAATACGATGGGGTAATAGGATTCAGATATCAACTGATTTCAACTTTGCACTTTGTCAAATTGTTTTTAGAAACATCACATAGTATACATGTTATATGACAATTCACTCTGCAATGACCAGACTAATCCGACCTCATTTGGATACAATGGCCATCGACCACATCCACTCCAAGCCCAATCACAAGTTCTTACCAGCATGCTTCCTCTCCGCCTCACTATTCGAAAACGGAAACCCCGTCGTCCTCTTATCCGCCCCGGTCTTCCGACTAATCTTCCCATGACTGCTCGCAAAAAGAAGACACCAAAGCCCAATACTAGCCGCGATCGTATACCCAAGCACCCCCACCGCAAACGCGGCCTGCCCGTTAAACGTATACCATGTGTACGCGTAGAACGCACAAACTCCCTGGAAGATCGTAGACACCATTAGCGTGGGCACGGCGTAGGGTGCTTTGGGGTCTGATTCGTCGGTTGTCACAGCTTCGGTGACTGTGGTGGATAGGGGGACGGAGCCGGTTAGCATGATGACTAGGGTGGCGAGGGTGAGGAGGGAGAAGCCGAGGGTGCGGGCGAAGTAGATTTCTAGTGCTGGTGGGGGTTAGCCTTCATGTCACCTGGGTGGTTTCGGAAGACTCACGAGTTGGAGGTCGGGTTTCATCCAGCAATGTGGTCATGATTATTTGCGGTGCTACCGTTAGAGCTGCGCTCTGTACGGAGAGCCATCCTGCTGTTGTGTAGGTGTAGGCGTAAAAGACCTATGGTCATCAGCTTGGTTTCGCGATAGTGGGGGGTCTGGTAGGAAGACAAGACGTACATCCATAATGCTGTAATTGTATGTTGGTACAAGTAGACAATTGATGCTTGCAAATATTTTCAACGGTTCATCGAGGAACGCAGTCCGTTTAATATGGCGGAATCCAGCAAGTTGGAGCAGTTCCAGCTCTGGAGACGTTGATATGATAACATCGCCGGAATTCTCGATGACATCATTACTGTTTGTCTTGTTTGCATAAGAATTTTACAAGAATCCAAGCTGAACCCTGATATGCTATTGCAGTATTTTATGAACGTAGATTGAGATATCCAGATAAAAAGTAGTGTCTGGATAGAATGCAAGACAATATCAACCAATGAACCGTAACATCATTTAATTCTCCGACCCTCATGCAAACTCCGAATCAAACTATCACCATCACCCATTAATATTATTTGCGCGCAGGTATCTGGTAAAGCTGTAATCTTCATGGTCGGGGCCCTTCTGTGACTCCGAAAGCGCGCTCCTGTATCGCTGCGAGAGTTCGTCATCGTCTCCAGCGCGAGGAGCATCCACACCTTCATCATCCGTGTCATCGTCATCCTCCACTTCAGCCTTTGCGTCCTCTTCCTCCTCAGCCTCGCTGACCGTCTCAGGCTCCGTGTCCTGAGGCCGTCGTTGCCCGCTCGGACCAGACACATTCATATCCTTCATCAACTTGCCCAATTCCTCCTCTCGCCGGTTTGCCTGCGCTTCCTCACGCTCTTTCTTCTTGCGTTCTAACTCCGGCTTGTAATCGCGCTCGAATTCCTGGCGTTTCTCTTCCACGGCCTTGAAGAAATCCTCAACACCATCGCCCGTCATGGAGCTCACACCCACGACACTCAGATGCCGGTAGAACTCTTCCAGCATCAGACTCATGCTATTGAGCAGTGACCCCATGTATCCACTCCCAGCGCCAAATCCTCCAGAACCGCCTTCCGTTCCGAATGCGCCTGTCTCCTCTTCCTCTCGTAGAGCCTGCTGGAAGGCGTCAAAGTCGGTCATCCACTCCTTTGCGAATTCCGCATCTTGCACGTCTGTTTTGTTGAATACGAGGATCATCGGCAACTTGGTCTTGTACAGGATACTGCAGGCGTAGAGCATGTTGCTCATGAATGTACTCGTCGAGCTGGTCCGGGGGGTATCAATGACATAGGCGATGACAGTCGGGAACGACGATGCCATGGTTTCAAGGAAAATTGTACCCGATGCACTCCACACAAACACCTCAATCTGCCCCGGTGTGTCGACAAGGACATGCTCAATAGGTTTTGCAGATGGGGTGTTGGGGTTTGGAGCGGCGCGTTTCTCGAGAAGAGATATGATCTGATCAACTTTGGTTGCGAAGAGGTTCAGAGATGTCAGAATTCCACCGTTAGGGCCGAGGTTGTATTGCTTCATGACTTCTTTGTAGTTGATCGAATCGCGAATGTCGATGTTGCTCTCGAATGGGACGGAATACACGGCGGGGTCTAGGTTCATCACATAGGGGACGTTTTTCTGCGAATGGAGGTAGGAGTTGATCCGCTGCATGAAGGTCGTCTTCCCCGAGCCTATATTAGAGAGAACATGTCAGTACCAGCCTAGAGACCGATTCGAAAGAAGTCATGACTTACCTGCCATGCCGACGCAGACGACAGACACAGGGGTTGTCGCCATGATGAAGAACTGTTTAGTATTCTTTTTGAAATCCTGTACAGTAAAATCACAAATATAAGATGAGTTAAACAATATCAGTCGTTTTCGTGAAGCTGTCTAGAGATTTTTCTGGAATGAAATTCTTTTGTCGCGGGGATCGCGGTGGAGTTCTGGACCGGCCAGACGTCATTCCACTCCGCCGCCAGTATTTTTACTCTCCTTTCTATTAACACTTTTGCAATCAAAACAAGAAAATGGCGTTGGAGGATTTCGAAAAAGCTCTGGCCGAAGAAGGTCGCGAGAGACAAGAGAAGGGCGACAGAGAGAAACGTCACCGCGATCGCGATCGCGACCGCAGCTCCAGACACCACCGACACCGACACCATCGCCATTCGTCGCGATCTAGAGAACGGGGATCAGAAAGACGAGACCGCGAGTCCCGGTACAGCGATGAAAATGGCCATCGCCATAAGCGTTCGCGCCATTCCACGGATCACGGCGACGACCGAGACCGCTCCCATAAACGCCGACACCGACACGAAAGCAGAGACGATGGATCAGCGGAGACACGGGAGCCAGTGAAAGAGGTGGTCCAGGAAGAGCCAAGTCGTCCGAAACGGGATGATTGGATGGAGGCTCCATCTGCCCTCGACGTGGACTACGTCAACCGGCGCGACTCGACGCGCTTACAGGAGTCGCAGCCGAAGATGCTCCAGGCGGATTTTGACCTGAAGATTCACAACCGGGAGATCAATAACCATTTACATGATTTGAAGGATGGAAAGGCTCTTGAAGAGGTCGAGGAGGAACCGGCGCAACATGAAGTGGATTACGAGTTCGGCGATGCTGGCTCTCAATGGAGAATGACGAGACTCAAGGCGGTCTATCGAGAGGCGGAGGAGACTGGGAAATCGGTGGAAGAAATCGCCTTCAACCGTTTTGGAGATGTGCGCTCATTCGATGATGCGCGGGAAGAAGAAGCAGAATTAGACCGTCGCGAGACCTACGGCGAAGGCTACGTGGGCAAAGTGAAGCCGTCCGGGGAACTCTTCCAAGAGCGGAAGCTCGATAATAATGTCCGGAGAGAGTCCCATGAACACGTCCGGTCACCAGGTCGAGAACATGAAGCCCAAGGCCAGGGCAAGCCGATGGAAACTGAACCGCCTGCGAATACCACACAACATCTCGATCTAACCGCCCTCAACCGACTCAAAGCCCAAATGATGAAAGCGAAACTGAAGGGTGCTCCCGATGCGGCCGAGCTCGAAGAACGCTACAATACAGCTACAGCCTCGATGGCTAACCGCAAGGAATCTGATGTGGTGGTGCTTGGTGTCATGGAAAATCGGATGTTGGCCGGAAAGAGGAACGAAGTCAAGCAGGTCGAAACCAAGAGAGGCCGAGAACGGGGTAATGTGGAGGAGAATGAGGATATGAGCATTGAAGATATGGTTCAAGAAGAACGGCGAAGCCGGGGTCAATTTGGAGGTGATGGACGCCGGTTGGCGGACAGAATTGCGAAGGATTCCAAATTTGAGGTGACTCTACCTCCTTTCTGCCAGAGTAATACATGATCACTAACTAGAGTCCAGAATGATCTGGAGTACATGGACGACAACGCCTCCAAGTTGGCTCGACGCGTGCATCGATCCGAAATCGACATCAAGAATACTGCCATCAACGATTTCCAGAAGATGAACCGGATCCTGGATAACTGTCCCCTCTGCCATCACGAGGACACGAATACACCACCAATTGCACCTGTGGTATCACTGGCCACGCGGGTATTCTTGACACTCCCAACAGAGCCCGAACTGAACGAAGGATGCGTCACCATTGTTCCTATCCAACATCGCACCAACCTCATGGAATGCGACGATGATGAATGGGAGGAAATCCGCAACTTCATGAAGAGCTTGACCCGCATGTATCACGAACAAGGCCGCGACGTGATTTTCTACGAAAATGCTGCTCAGCCTCAACGCCGGAGACATGCAGCAATGGAAGCGGTGCCACTCCCATACAGTCTGGGAGAGACATCTCCAGCGTTCTTCAAAGAAGCAATTCTCTCCTCGGACTCGGAATGGTCCCAACATCAGAAGCTTATCGACACTCTCGCCAAGTCGAGGCAGGGACTGGGACGGTCAGCTTTCCGTCGTTCCCTCGTGAAGGAGATGCCCTACTTCCATGTTTGGTTTGAGTTAGATGGCGGATTGGGTCACGTCGTCGAGGATGAAAACAAGTGGCCCAAGGGCGACCTGTTTGCACGAGAAATAATTGGAGGGATGCTGGATATAGGGCCAGAAATCATTAAGCGACAGGGACGGTGGCAGCGGGGCGGTGATAGACGTGTCGAACCATTCCGACGACGATGGAAGAAATTCGATTGGACTCGGGTATTGGTTGAGGGATAATATAGCACCTTTCCATTTTGGCGTTGGATAGAGCGCTAATCAAAGTCACTGTATCAGAGCACTCTATTTCGGTGCTCAATATACTCATGGTAATAGTATTCAATTCATTCCAAGCTAGACATGTCAAACTCTACTCTGAACAGAGCAATGGTTATAAATCTCCCAGCTTGATATTCTGCAGCTGCTTCATAGAGATATCCGGAGACATGTAGAAGCTGATATTTGTTAGTGATCGATGTTCTTAAAGATACCAGGCATAGACATACATAAATTCAAGGTCGTATTCAGCGGAGGCCTCGCTTCATACACCTTGGGATCTATCCCAGCTGAGACTGAACGACGCCACATAGCATGCAGAAAGCTCTCTGGTAGATCTACAAGTACGGTGGGCCTTCTATCAGCTGCAAATGTTGCTATGAGAGAAGAAGTACTTTCTGATCCTATACAATTCCATCTAAAGCTATGTACTACTAGCAACCAACTCAACCCTTCTCCTCAACCTCCTCAAGCTTAGTCGAGATCCATTTACCCAGGCTTACACTATTCAGAGCACCGAAAGAGACGCTGTCGTGGTCAATCACGATCAAACTGGACATTGCTAGCGACTCAACTCATTATATCGCCCGAGAACTTCAACCATACTAGGTAGTATGAACCGGGGGATTTCCTCCATCTGATTCAACCTGGTTCGTTCCAACGGCACCCTTTGGACCGAATTTATCCGATACTCTGTAGATTATTAGTTAGGTATGGTATACGAGAGATGGAGACTAGAATAGCTGGAAGAATAAACTAACATAGATAGTCATTTTGCCAGTTGTGTCAGTATGGAGGATGTTTTCGGTCCGTAGATAGAGGGGTTTCTTGTCCCTTATATACATACTCTGTACATCTTTAGATCCAGCTCGAGGGGTAGCCAGTCACATAGCATTGCAAGTCGGAAGATCAACTGATCCGATGACGTGGGAGTATGTGTCTATTGCTTTATCTTGAAGTTACGTATGTATATAAACAGTACGTTCATAGTGCCATGAGGGCAAGTTCAGAATCCCGAGACTTAAATCGAACAGTATGCTAACACATTGAGCCCAAAATGCACTAGTAATCGCCATTGTCCTCTTTGACCACGTTAATCTCCGTCGAGATGTCATCTCCCAGCTTAATCTTCTTCAAGTCATCCAATGTGACATGAGGCGCTGCAGCCAGGCTGGTCTGTGTTAGTATTCGAATAACGAAACAGTGGTTGTATCGGTGGCCATACATGGCATATTGAATAGGAGGTCCATTCGTAACCCATTCGACTGCCCTCGATACGACAGCACCCTTTTCAGCGAACTTGTTCGTCACTCTGGTGGATGAATTGTTAGATGTATATGAATATGGCTGAGAACAGGAGGGGGTGACTATACGTTTATCCAATTCCATCAGAGTATTGAGAAGCAGCTTCGTCGTTGTCGTAGCGGATGGTCAGCTCCCAGACGTGAATTGTGTTAATAAGGACAATAGGGACTACTGGGTAGTAAAAGATGAACGAATGTATAGATCCATTTTGTCTGTAATAGATGTTTCCTGGCCTGAGAGAAATGCTGTACTCTTTATTTGCAGGGGTTCTTATCCCTTATATACCCTGAGATTCAAACGTCAGTAGAAGCTAAATGCAGAGACTGCCACGTAACATCATGGCAAGCATAAGGTTTGCTGGTGGAGATTGAAAACATCGTTTTCATCTGATTCGGCATTTTGGGTTTCTTGGATATTATCTCATCTTGATCTTATCCGTGTTAGGGTTCGGTTATGGAGGGGTTGATGGGGGAATAGCTACGGAGTACGTCCCAGAAACTTGATTGATTATAAGTCAGACATATAAAGCCAGCCCTTTGAACAGGCATTGCTACCATGCCTCTTCAACTATTTTAGAGATACTAGGCGGCGACTCGAACTTCCGCAGCTCATCCAATGTCATACGGCCCGGCACATCAAAGCTGATCGGTGTTAGTTAACAGGGCATAGGAAAGAAAGAAAAAGAACAGAAATCATGAATCCCACTTACAAAGTGAGTTGGAATCGACCTATACGGCGGACTGGTTCAACCGCCGCATCCGCAAAGGTACCAAAGGTGTACATCAGACTGGTGGGTTGTCAGAGGTGCGTACAGTATGGCAGGTGATTGAAAGGGGGATGGTACATGGTCTCAATAAACGGAGCATCTATCCGATAAGCATCGTCTCTTCATAGAAAGGGGTGGGTTTCTAGATCATTAGCTGCCTTTGGGGACTAGGATAGAGGAGGCTCAGCGAACGTACTGGGGCATTTTGTATGATGCTCTTTGGACTAGGGAATTATTATAATAACCTTGTTAGGGCTTGATTTGTGTCCTGAGAACCGTGGTGCAAAAAATTTCATATGGGGCTCTTCCTGATTTCTCTTCATTATGATTTGCCTTTCGTTTTAGAACATTATGTTGAGCGTTGGGGCTCGTTCTGTCATAGCAATGGATGACTGAATGAGAGACTGAAATTTGTAGAAACTTGTCCGCTATATACTCCATCTCAGCCGAGGCTGAATGCAGTGATCGCCACCCACAAGGCATGCATAAGGCTAGCCCATCCTCCAACTGTCAATGGCGCTGATCTTCAAGACTATGAATTCATGATACGATGAATAAAGAAGCTCAAAATCCAAAGAGACTTGATATTAACCCTGTGTAAACGGTACTGAATAGCATTCCATTCCTTCGATGCTAGACATACCAATCCATTCTTCTAAATCGACTACTGAACTTGAATCATCAATCGAGATACCGTCATACGTGATATGCTATGGAGGATGTTCAAAAGCACCCTTGGACATGAACTAATCCGCCACTCTGATGAATTATTAGTTTCCGGCAGTTGGAAGGAAGATCGTGGTACATTATCTTGATCTTAACTGGATATCTTACTTATCAATCCTTTGGACATCGGTAAAGATCCCTTCTCCGAGGTCAACATTCCTAAGCTCGCCCAATCTGCCTTTTGCTGCGTGAAGACTGGTATCTGTTAGTAAGTACACATAGGTATGGAGGATCTCACTTGCATAGTATATTGAACGAAAGGAACACGTGGATCTGATTTCAACGGGAGTGTCACCGAAACATCCATTGCCACAAATGTATCTAGCACTCTGGTTATTTATTAGATTAGTGTACAACAGACGGTGGCAGGAGAGCTACATGGTTTGAATATCTTCGAGATAATGATAAAAGAACACTTCATTTGCATAGCGAATGGTGAGTTTCTAGACATGGAATGGGTAAGTAGAAGGCTTATGCGGAGGAAGTCCAAATTACATACATACGGCATCTTGTCGATTTGTATGAAAAATGTTTGTAGAATTGAAATTGAAATATTGGAGAACCATCTCCTCCCTATATGTTTTATACCTCGAGAGCGTCTAACCTCAGCTAAGGTTTCCACGTCATATTATGAAATACCGGCAGCTGTTATGCATTTGGCGCAGGTGCAGGTACACAACAGACAGCCCTGGGACATGTCAAACAATTGCCGTTTTGGGAAATCCTGATGCCATCCGATGCGGGGAATGCCATGTGGGGCACATTTTCTAATCTCTTGTCATTCCTTCGCCTTTCGCTTCTTCTTCTTCTTCACTCCCTCTCTTCTTCATCTTTTCATTCTGGTCATATTTCTGGACACCTACACTGATGTGCTTGTAATCGATTTATCCCCTGCATTTTATCACTATCGTTTTGAGTGGTCTCAACGCCCGGCTGGGACTCGTTCTCGGTCACAATTCTCCGGTTTCTATCGTCCGAGATAACAACCAGAGTAAGACTTGCACTTCTCCTCTACCAATCCCTTCATACCTTCTTGCTCACAATTTGAATAGAAAATACACACCCAACAAACTCTACAATGGCCGACTCCAGACCCAAGATCCTCCTCCTTGGAAAGATTGTTCAGTACGCTTATCATTCATTGCCCACCGGAGTTGCTCCGACTGACATTCGCAGCGCACATTCTACCTGGCAATCTCTAAGCGAGCTCGGAGAACTGGTCGCATCCACCGCCATTAACCGTGAGGAGTTTCTCAAGGAATGTCGCGATGGCAAGCTGGACGGAGTAGTCGCTGCGTATCGCACATTCGACTCCGTGACTATTACAGGAAATATCGACGAGGAGGTGGTGAATGCTCTCCCCAACTCTCTCAAGTACCTTGCGCATTGCGGTGCAGGATATGACCAAGTCAACGTTCACGCCTGCAGTGCCCGGAACCCGCCCATTCGGGTCTCCAACACTCCCACTGCTGTCGATGATGCTACGGCCGATGTGAACATGTTCCTGATCATTGGTGCCCTGCGCAACTTCAATTATGGTATGGCCGCATTGCGTGAAGGTAAATGGCGTGGACAGCCGCAGCCTATCCTCGGACATGACCCTCAAGGCAAGGTCCTGGGTATTCTGGGGATGGGTGGCATTGGGCGCAACTTGAAAAAGAAGGCAGAGGCGTTTGGGATGAAGGTTGTCTACCACAACCGTCGGCAGTTGAATGAGGAATTGTCGGAAGGAGCGCAATATGTGACCTTTGACGAACTGCTGTCGACCAGTGACGTGATCAGCTTGAACTTGCCTTTGAATGTAAGTGCGCCCACTACCCCGCTTAATATGATCCAAGTCTAACTGATTAGAAAAACACCCACCACATCATCAGCAAATCCGAATTCGCCAAGATGAAGGACGGCGTTGTCATTGTCAACACGGCCAGAGGCGCCGTCATTGATGAAGCAGCCCTCGTCGAAGCTCTCGACAACGACAAGGTCTACTCCGCCGGTCTCGATGTCTTCGAGGAGGAGCCTAAGATTCATCCTGGTCTCGTTCGTAACCCCAGGGTACTTCTGGTTCCTCACATGGGTACCTGGACTGTGGAGGTGAGCCCCCTTTCCTCTAATTGATATGGAAAAGAGGCTAACGTATTGTAGACTCAAACCGCTATGGAGGAGTGGGCTATTGGGAATGTGCGAGATGCACTCCAGACTGGGAAGTTGAAGAGCCCTGTTCCTGAGCAGGCTGACCTGTGAGATCGCTGGCGAGGTATCGTATGCACATAAAACGGGGGTATACCTTGCTCGGTACATAGACTCGTATCAATTACAGAATGTGATAGACTTCTATACTACATATTTATCTTCGCTTCCTCTCACTTCTACTCTACCACTCACCGCCTGCCTTATTCGAACTCATATCCAACGCCGCTTCAAGGCCAACATCATCCGCAAAAGCAGCACCCGCTATCAATAAACGCCTTTCCCACACGATGGACGCCCCAGATAGTCAATTGCAACCCGTAACCCTCCCAGCCTTTGCAGATGACGCGACGCATACATTTCAACCTCTCCAGTCGGACATTGAGAGTCTACAACACCAGCAACAGCACCAGCACCATCTCCAGAATGCAAATGCTACAGATACACCGGTTTTCCTGCGACCTCCGCGACCAGGAGAACCCGCTAATAACCTCCTGATAACAAGCACCCCGCATCATACTCCGACACAGCAATACCAACAGATTAGAAATAATGATACTGATAACGATCGATTGGACCATCTCAATTCCCAGCTACAACAGCAGAATGAACCAAACTTCGCACTTACAGCCGACATGGCGATCAAACAGGCAGACCATCGGAAGGACATGAAATGCATTCCTGATCCGCCTGATCTGGATTCGTGGAGAGAGAAGCTGTTCAATGTAGACGAGACGATCACTCTGAGTGAAGAGCAGTATGTCTCCTAACATCTCTCTATATAGATTTGACCTGATTGCTTACACTGGTTGTCACGTAGATTCCTAATCTACTTCCCCCACATCGACAACGTCTACTCCCACCGCTCTACACAACGCTACAAGCGCAAGCCCTTCGTCTCGCATTACTGGGACTGTCGACTAAAAGGCCGTCCACCAGGAACACCCAAATCCAACAACCCGACTAAGAAGAAGCGAAAACGTACCGCTCGCCAACGAGATCTCTGCGACGTCAAGATCAAGATCACAGAGTATTTCCCTGGCTTCGTCCCGGAATTGACACCAAGTGATCCAGATCCGTCATTTCCGTCGGAGTTGTTACCGGGTGTTCATGCGTTGTTTGATCACGGTGGGAATGGCGATGGCGATGATAGGGGATCGCAGCCATTTGGAATCCTTACGCCGAATCCTTCACCACCGGATGGACATGCTGGTATCGCTGGGGAGCGGTTCTTTACGATTCAGCGGGTGAATGGTAACGGCGCGAATGGGAAGCATGATGGTGTTGGAGGGGGGCATCGACATACGCTGGAGGAGAGCGATCGCGTCAAGAAGAATAGTGTCCAGCGACGGGTTTTGAGTCAGACGAGGGAGAGGAAGAGGTCGAGTCCGGTATGTACTTCTTTTCTCTTTTTGCGTGTCAGTTTTCTTGCCCCGGAAGTAGACCTCGATACTGCTTGTAGCTCGCACGTTCCCGGTCAATTGCACAATTGAACAGCACAAGAAAAAGCACAATTCAATATTCAATTGTTATCTGAATTGGAAGTTTATATGGTGTATCCAAGCGGAGTGGAACGCCTTGACGTCACTGCATGGCGCTTTTCCCTCTCCCCGCTTCCCTCCGATCTGACCTTCACCTTACTATGTTCCTCAAACGCCTCTGCTTTTTCCCTTTTCACAGAACGTTTTTGAACCTCCCTCGACGCGGTTTCATTCTCCCTCTACTACCAAGTGTGTACCCAGTGACTCTAACCCATCAATCGACGCGAAAGATCAAAACCATGCCTCCCCAACACCAAACGAGCCAAAAGATATACCATACCGAAGCCACCGGTACCGCTGCATTGACCGCGCTCAATCACAAAAATGAATGCGATTTGAGGTTGTTTGGTAGTTGCTTCTGGTGAGTCTCACATCCTAATCAATTGGCGAATTGCGAATCTCCTGCTGACAGCGAGGTCGGTTGTAGTCCATTCGTGCAACGGGTATGGATCGCATTGGAGTTGAAAGGCATCCCGTACCAATATATCGAGATCGATCCGTATAAGAAACCGCAGTCGTTACTCGAGGTGAATCCGCGGGGATTGGTTCCTGCGCTACGGCACGGCGATTGGGGGTGTTATGAGAGTACGGTGTTGATGGAATATGTATGGCTCGACCCGCAAATCTGAAGTGGATGTCCGTTTTAATGCGATGTAGCTCGAGGACTTAAATGGCGGTGCCCCGCTTATGCCGAAAGACAATGCGAAGTTGCGTGCTCAAAGCCGATTGTGGGCGGACCATGTGAGTTTCTTCTTCCTCGAGGTCGATTTATAGAAGCACTTCTGACCATCCAGATCAATCGCCATATCGTCCCCAATTTCTATCGTGTTCTACAAGAACAAGACCAAGAGAAACAGATCGCGAACGCGCAGGAATTGCGTGAAGGTTTCACCAAGCTGATCGATGCCGCCCATCCCCAAGGTCCGTTTTTCTTGGGTCCCCGTATTTCGTTCGTGGACATCCAAGTCGCGCCTTGGATTCTCCGGCTTCGTCGTGCTCTCAAACCATACCGCGGATGGCCGGATCCAGAGGAGGGAACTCGGTGGGCGACTTGGGTCAATGCCATTGAATCTAATGAGCACGTTCGAGCAACAACCAGCACGGACGAGCTGTATTTGGACAGCTATGAGCGTTATGCTCGTAAGTTTCCTGCTCGAAGAAAATTGGCGCCCCCGCGCTAACTTTTGTTATAGAAAACCGCCCCAACACTTCTCAGGTTGCGAATGCGATCAACTCTGGGAGAGGACTGCCTTGAGCTTCTCCCGGCATAGCCTTGCCTATGAATCGCTGGACGTGTGGGATGTTTGGCGATGTGGGCGGGGTTATATGCCGGGGTGATTTCCCAGAAATAGAATAAAACGGTAGACCATGATGAGCCTTTCCTTTGCATCTTAAGTTGTTTTTGCACCCCTGGGCTTGAAGCCGCCACGCCCATTGGCATCTGGTCCTCGGGGATGACGATACGGCTGGCGTGGGGATTGCTGTTGACCGCCGATCCGTTCACCGGGAGATTGGCTGTCCTTTTTCTGTACATAGTTTGGGTTCGATCGAGGAGCATTTCCTGGGTCATAGAGTTGTCGCGACTTAGACGATGTTGACGAAGAATCTCTCTTTTCCTTGTGATTGTCCTTATTGTTGTCTCTTCCTCCACCGCGGCTCTTGCCTTTCCCTCGGCCCTCGTTCTGCCTGTTAGGCGGGGTTGCACTGCGAGGGGTAGAAGTACCGGACGTATTGGCAGACGGACTCCCAAACAGCCGCTCTCGTACCTCCTCGTACTTGCGCTGCCTCTCCTCTAGACTCCGCATTGCAATTGCTTGACGCTCTTCGGGAGTCGGCTCAGGTGCTTTGTTCTTCTCGTCCTCGTCATCAGACTCTTCGACTTTATCGTCCGCGACCAGGGCCAATCGGGCCATACCAGCTGTCGCTATGCTGGGTGTTGCGGCACTCCGTGAAGCTGAGGCCTGAGGTTTGCGACTGAGAACGGTTACGGTAGGTTTGAATTCTTGTTTCAGGGGGACGTTGGATTGGGCTTCGAGGAAGTGGAGGGTCTGGGGTTGTTCTCTGCAATTGGGTTAGGATTGCGATGGACCAGATATATTAAATGTAGATGCACAAGATATGGATGCCCAAGAGAGACGTACGCTTCGGCCCATAGTTGACGGTTAAATTCGGCCTGCTGCGCTCTGCGCTGTGCTTTGGTGACTTTGGATGAGACTTTCTTCTCCGGCGGGGGCTGCTCGTCGAAGGTCTAAACCGGTTAGCACTCGCCTTCTTTGATATGGATATATATATCTTGAAAAATCGGTAAGGACAAAGGACAGGACCTACATCCGCCTGCTGTTCCCAATCCTCGTCCCAAACATTGTGACCGGCAGAAGTGCTTGCGCTCATGATGGCAAAGGCTGAAGATGCAAGAAGAACAAGAACAAAACCAAAAAGAATGAGTATCGCTGTAGAAATAGAATAATAGAATAATTGTGTACCCAAAATTGAATCCTCTTCGGGCCAAAGTCTGGGAGTTCTGTAGTGGTGATCAAGTTTTTATGGGGAGATTCTGTTTCAGTCGGGATTTGTGAGGAGGTTACTAAGTGGTGGACCGGGACAAGCGCCGGAACGGAGGCAGTAACTGCGATAGCGACAACCAACATCGACACTCTTTTCTGTTTAGTGGTCAACGCCAACTATCCATCATGCCGACAGGTGAGTTCCTTGATTAGTTATGCCTTCATTCTGGATTCTATTACCGTCTACACGCGCCTTCTCAAGCAGCGTTCTCTTCCCCGCATCATCACCAGCCAGCCATCTACACCCTCAAGCTAGAAGGCCAAGCACCACAATCCAAAACTCAAAAGCATCACAATACTAATACAAATTCAGACTACGACGGCGACTCCCAAATGGCCTCCTCCCCCGAATCCGGAGCCCGCACCCCAACCATGACCAACCCCCCGGCCATCCACTCCTCAGAACTCTCGCCCCCGGGATCCCAGCATATGGAGAGAACAGCAGACCTCGGTGGCTTTGAGAAGGGAGGTAGTGCTGCTGCGGCACAGGGGAAACAGCAGAAGGTCAAGCCGGGGGAGTGGAAGAGTAAACGGGCGGAGGATGAGGCTCAGCGCGCGATGGAGTTTGTGGTGGATAGGGATTTTAGTTTGAGTGAGTCGCCTTTTTACACTCGTACCCGTCTTTCTGGTCCTGCTTTTGGGTGTTGAGATGGTTGGGGGTTGTACTGGATGGAGGCTAATGCCGGACTAGAGGAATTCGGGGACCCGTTTGACGAGAGGGATATGGACAAGAAACTGCCATGAAATATTGCAATTACTCTGCTGGATACCCAGCGACAGCTGACGAGGAATCACGACAAAAGAGAGCATGGTGACGGCGTTAGTACTTGGTGGTTACTACGGCTTATGAGACATGATATGATTTCGGCATGATTCTCTTTCGGACTGCAACAGTTCACCTTCTGAATCTTGATACGGTTAGCTAACTTAGTGAGCCCGACCTGGTTAATTAGAAGACTGGGAATGGACAGTTCTGTTGTTCGACTGCTCATAGAAGCAACCGGCCTAGACTGGTTGTCAACATACACCGTAGACAGCAATCGTCTTTCTTCCAGAACAGTTTCCTAGCTAATTTAAAGCCATTGAATCATGCGACACTACTCTTACTCTTGTATACAGGTGGGCAATACTGTAGGGCTGCGATGTACCACTAGAGTGGTTGGCACAGCAACGGCGGGCCCAAAAGAAACAAGACCAACAACTCCGGATCTTCAACTCCAACGTCAACGTCCTTCACCCACTCGCAACTCTTATCTTTTATCAGTTGTGTTATTCCGCATCGTCAGTTCAGTTTTTTATGGTATAATATTCTTCATCTGCACTTTCATAGTGTGCTCTTTCTCGCAACATACCCCGTCTCAGTCGCGACACTCCTCGCGGCGTAAACAACATGCGCGATAACGCCGGACCTTCTACTTTGCTACACCCGCAAATATGGTTGGTTTATTCTATTTTATTTTATCTTATGCCCTGACGCACATTCCTCAATGATTATGGTTTTATTTCTGTTCTGGAAGGCAACAAGCCCAAGAGGAGCTGGACTCTGCTTCTAACCCCTATCATCCTCCCACACCCAGAACCACGCCGTACAGAAAACAAAGACCATTGACAGCTGACACTTCGCGCATCCAGCTCAATCCAAAAAGAATCCCAGACCGAAGACCGCTTCCGCTTCACCCCCGTCAAACACGCCAACACCCTCCCCCGCCTCTGGGATCGCAAACCCTCCACCTCCTTCCTGAGCCAACAATCTCGCCCGCGCAAAGTCTGGAAGCGCTTCCGCACATCGTTCAATAGCATAAAGTCGCTTCAGCAGATGATTGGCGCGGACAGGCCGCTCGAGGAGATGGAGTTGGATACGGTGATTAATGCATCGAGGGGTGCGGGCTTGCTGAGGGGTGCGGGCTTGCTGAGGGGTGTGAAGCGGAGGTGCTTAGGCGTTGAGGTTGGGGGGAGGGAAGAGAGAGGACGGTCATTTTTGGAGACCAAGTGGGAGGGTGAGGTTCGGAGGAGACGTGAGTTAATTCCTATTTTTACTTGTTTGTTAATTTTCTTTTTTGGGATATGCAGTACTGACGTTTCCAGGCAAACTTCCTACGCCATACACCCCTCCAACGGTGGATGAATCGCAGCCCGAAAGTGACTACGAGACTGGGCAGGAATTTTCCACGTCAGACATCGAAGCGGACTTAACGCAGGATTCCATTGAGACGGACGAATCCGTGGACATTGAGACAAACTCTCCGATTACGTTTAATCAGGATATGGCCTATCCTGAAATGCTACATGGCACGTCGAGTTGCCAAGAAGTTGAAAGTGAAGAAATCGACATTGCCGTGCAACCCCGCGATGATCAGTCAACCTTGAATATCGCCAGCGAAGAAGCTAGCGAAGAAGTCAGCGAAGAAGTCAGCGAAGAAGTCAACAAAACTACGATGGACAATCAGCCTGAGCCAGGGAAAGAGACTGCGCCCGCCCAAGAAATCACAAGTGCCCAACAAGAATCGACTCTTGTACGGTCGGCACTTCGAAGCTCGCTGGATGGGGAGGATGCTGAATTACTCAACAACTTCCTAACAAAGGCCAGAGCGAAACGGGCCGCCAAAGCAGCGATGGCCCAAGAGAACGTTGAGGAAGAGAAAGTCACCAAGAAAGAAGAGGTCCCCGACATGCCAACGCCGCGATCCCGTCGGGCTCTGGAGGAGCTGGACACCAATTCCCCAAGCCCATCCCCGCAGAAAGTCCGCCTGCCGTCGCCCAAGAAGCCTGAGAATCCTCCCGCAAGCCCAATTCGCAAGGAGATTGTCTACAACGATGAGGAACAAACCGGAGACGAGAAACAGCAATCAAGTCCGGTCACCCGTCGGAGTACGAGGGTTCGTGTGCCGCCACAGACGACTACCACCGCCATTCGCAACACTCTGTCGCTCCGTCGCGCCAAGGGAACCGAGTTTGTCTTCCTTCAGCGATCAGAGGCCCAGGAACTTGCTCTAGCGACACGCAAAAACACGCGACAAAACAAGGGCAGCGCGGTGTTTCCGAAATACGTACTCAAGAATCTGGCCCAGAAGCAAGGACCAAAAGAAGGGTCTCCGAACCCTGCGCCCAGTGCCAACAAGAAAGGGAATCGGGTGTGCTGGAACAACGCACGTCTGGTGGAATTTGAAGATGGCGAAGAGCCACAACCTGCTCCTACCGAGTGCGAATCCAGTCATGAGCCCTCCGATGTCGACAGCGCACAGCCGACCAAGAAGGGCAGCGAGAAGCGGAAGACGACTGGCGGTAGCAGTGGCCGTACTCGATCCCAGCGTGCGCAGAAGGGTAACAAGACCACGCCTTCTACGGGCACTCTGGCTCCGCCAAAGACCACCGCAACACCACCTGCAGGACGTGTGCGAAAACTGGGAGGCTCTGCCACACCTACAAAGTCCAAATCCGCGCCGTCGCCAGCGACTCCATCATCCAAGGGTACCACCGACACACCCGCCGGGAAGCGCAAGAAGTTGACTCCCAAACCACCCAGTTCTACGTTGTCGCCAGCCAAGAATACCACCAGCAGCAGCACCACAACGACACCTGCCAGCAAAGTACCGAAGCCGACAAGCCGGACATCAACATCGTCCGCAACGAAGAGCAAGAGCATCTTCAAGGCGAATGCTGGGTCAACGCCGGTGCCGAAGCGGGTCCGTGCTCGGGCCTAGTCTCGCGGTTTAACGTTTGTTTTGTTTTTTTGCCTTGTACATATTGAGGTTATTGTTGTGCTTAGTGGGTACATAGGTGGTTTTGTGTTTTGTACATATTTGATGGGAATAAGGGTATTTATGTCTGAGTTCTGTTATGATGCTAGGAATTTGTCTGGGTACAATCGTTTCTCGATTTCAATTGACTTCCTGTTGATATTCTTCTGGACATTGCATATTGATAAACCTATCCAGGCATGATGTTGACCGGATGCGTTCACGCATGAAACGGACACCCACCCGCAAAATTCATCCCCCTCAACCCCTCAAAAATCACCTCCATCTCCTCATGTCCCCTCTTCTCCTGCGCAGCAGGCCCAATCGTCTTCAAATCATACCCAGCCTCTCTATACGCACCATCTTGTGTAGGAACAGCACCACCCCCAAAAAGCCGCGCAAACATAGCCTTCAGACCCCATCTGTTCTTGAAAGATGGCTCGATGTACCACGGCTGTGCGATCCAGAGGTTGATCGTGTACAGACCGGTGGCGGGATCTGGGGCTTCGTTGAGGACACGGATGGCTTTGGATTCGGGTCGTGGGAGGGCGAAGTAGCGAAGGAGAAATTTTCGGAGGGTTATTATTGTCTTCATGAGAGTGGTTATAACGATTCCTGGATTGGCGAAGCTGTGGTTTGTCAGTATGTATACTCAATTAAGTAAAGAGAGAGTAGATGCTCACCCCATGCTCACACGAACATGCTCGTCCACCTTACTCGCAATAACCCTCTGAACAACCGGCTTCAAAAAACCCGGCAAATTCCACTGCGCCAACTCCATAAACCTCCGTCCAATCTTCCTCGTCGACTCTGCCGGCTTCGCAACCTCCTTCTCATAACCCAGCGTCCACTCGCACAGCTCCCGTGCAAAATGTACCCCGTCACTCCATCCCCTCTTATACGACTCGAGAAATCTGAAGTCGATCTCCATCGCGTCCCCCAATGCCTTATGAAACACCCCAATCGCGCATTTCTCCGTCTCACTTAACACCCGCCATTCATTCTCGTCCACGGAGCGGAAGATATCGACTACGGCGGAGCCGAGGGTATGTAGCATATCCTCGTCGAGGATCTTGCCTGCTTTGCGGAAGCGAGAGTGCAGGTAGTTCATGCGTGATATGGCGAGGAGATGCTCGTTGGAACCGGGCTGTCGGTCGTGGACTTCGTTGAGGAGGACTTCTGTGTCTGCGGCGCGTTTGGGCGCGTTGCGTTCGTTGAGTTGGCCGGTTGCTTGGAATAGTTTTGTCATTGTTGGGATTGAGCCGGTCTATCTTCTGTATTAGACTTGCATTTGCAAGACGATGATGGGGGTGGAGTATAGGAACCTTTAGCAGAGAAATCTTCATAGCATTGTGCAGACTATACGGGAACTCAAATTCTCGTAATTCGCGGATAATTTGATGCGCTTCTTTGACGGTCATGCTTGATAGAGGACGTTTGGTGGGTTGAAATCGGGATTGAATTGCTGTGCATCTTTGATAGCGGAAGTAGCGGACGACTACTGCGTATAGACTGAGGAGGGCTGTGGCGAGGGCGATTTTGCCGTAGCCATCTATGGGGATGGCCAGTGGGAAGGTTCGCGTGAGTTCGTTCATTTTGGGTTGAATCTGATGATGATATACTGGGATGAGTGGATGTTTTTTATATGAATGGTTGGCTTGTGATGGGTGGACATTTTGTTGACCGAGATAATGTAATCTTGGATTGATTACCGAGGTGTCGTTGGGGGTTCAGTTGAAGATGATTACGAGGACTGGGTTTGATCTTGTCTTCTGATTGAAGTGCTGAGATTGTTTTTTTCGTGAGGTTGAATATCAAGTTCGCCATGTGAAATACTCGTGGAACTGGTTCACATTCATCATTGTTTAGGGCCCGCAGACACCCCAGGTTATTCTATCAACGAATTTCAAAGACGAAATGCCCATACCGAATCACATCCTTATCATCTTCAATATAACCAATATAATAATGACCTGCAATCGCATCCTTTGGTGTCAACTTCTGTATCTTCCTCTTAAGCCCCGACTGAGTTTTCGTCCGATCAGAACTAGCTGAATCATCATTGTAGAAGCCCGTCATTTCACGCTCCAGTTCGCCAGCGTCAATATCAACATCAAACTCCTCTTCCGGCTTAGGAAGTTTTGGAAAGAGTGAGTTCCACCGTGAAATCTCCCTCTCGGTACTGCTTATTATCTCCTCAGGTGTCATGGCCCGCTCATCGTCTGGGGCTGCCGCGAGTTCGGTGGCGACTTCACTCGCTTCGTCTAGGAAGGTATATTGCGTATCATTTGAGGCGTGATGGCTTGTAGAATTGTCGCTGGCTTCCTGCTGCGGATTGGGTTCAACTGCGTCGGAAGTGGGGATTATTACGAAACCGTCATCTTCTGCGCTAGCCTCACTCTCGCCCGCATCGTCGTCTTCGTACTCGTGGTCAACGCATTCAGCTGTGTACAGTTGTGGTGTTATGTTCCTCAAGTCGCAGCAACTGCTAAGCCGTGCTGTCCCGATGCGACGAAACACGCCTTTTTCTTCTGTTGATTCCAGGAGCAGAGAATTAGGTGTGGTGTTTGAAGGTTCATCGTCACAGCATGTAAAAAAGACTGGAGCGAGGAAGGTTTCTCCGCAGGGAGCTTCTGATGTGGACCCGGTCCAGGACTGAATGAGTGCATCGCCCCGTGTAGCACCCTCTGGCCAAGCGCTGAGATCGAGCGCGATGGGGAGCAGGCGACCCCGAATAAGAAGACGACCATCTTTTACCTGGCCGAAGGGCATGTCATCCTTTTCAGATATACCTTCGATGTCAATAGAGAGAATCTTGATTAGATCCATGGCGCCATTTGTTTGGAGGGCGGGGTCCAATTTTAATCCATTTTCTATTATACCACCAGGGTATGATACCCATGACCAAGATGGCGCGGCGTAGTCTTCGGTTTGTATCTCCTTCGAATGTGAGGGGGTCCAGAGCAACTGCCGTGGGAGTTGGATTTCCCAAAGTCCAGCAACATAGCGAAAACTCGTTCTGGTCGACAATATCTTCGCCAGACCAGCAACGGCTATCAAGCGGTCTATTTGTCTTGGATAGGCAACGCTGTGGCTGACCGTGATGTTGGACCAGTATTTGATAAGAGGATGCGTTGGCTCAAAGGCACTTTCTCCGTAGCACATGTGCTTGGCTTTCCTTAGGATATCTGAATTCCGAGAGAGAGTCTTCCTCCGGAAAGTGGATTTTTCACGACCGTACATTGCTCTGAATGAAGACCAAATATAATCGAGTCCCAACTCCCTTGTTTTTGGTTCATGGTGTAAGTCCACGGAGTATGGGTCCTCCGGCTCCAAAAATTGTCGATTATCGCTTTCTTCATTCGACCTCTCGTCAAGAGTCTTTGAAGTGGTGCATTCCCAAATCAACTGCCGATCCGTAAGATGCACTACTCGTGGTGCTAGCAGGGATTCTTGGAAGACCCATTCCTTGGTATTGGATTTCGCTTCCAAGGTCTGTCTTGACCGTTTGGTGTGGCCGTCCGTGGCAACATCGTAGAAGGTCTCCACAAGCTTTGTAGGACGTAGTCGCCCCGATGACCAGCTAACACAGCTGGTCAAGTTGATGATATCCTGTCTCCATTCCCCGTTCATCTTTCGGAGTTCAGCTCGTAAGATGCTTCCTTCGAGGGACATATTTCTTGCAGTGAAAGCGAAGTCTGTACCATCGGTACTAAAAGCGCCATCTCTGTTTGCGAGACATTCGTTAAGGTCGACTTCTTGGGGCTCCGAGATAAAGATAGTTGAGTTTCCAACAAGTCTGAAACTTGGCCGATCAAATAATCCCTCTAAAAGCTCCTTCACGTCCACGCATCTGCATCTCCACTCTCCAGATATGGCTTTTAGTTCGGCGCAGAGAGTATTTTCTACCAATTCGACGTTCCGTGCACTCCAAGAAAAGTCCTTATCCTTGAGATCGAAGTTTCCGTCTTTGTTACCAAGACGGGTGTTGAGATCAATCTCTATCTCGAGAGCTTGGGGCGGTGAAGCTTCTGCTACAAGCACTGAGGCACCTTCTAGTCTGAAAGGTGGAAGATCGTCTTGCGGGTCAATGCCATTACCCCGGATCGAGATTCGCAGAGGTGTTGCCAAGACAGAATTTCTTGTTGTGAAGAGTCCACCATTCGGATCTAGCGAGGTATCCGGGGAGATGTTCAGATACGAACCCTGATAAACCTCACCCATCACTCCTGCCTGGTCCAGCCAGTCCTTTGGAGAATCTTGAATGATGCATAGAGACTCAGTCCACAAGTATCGAATCCCCAGTTTCCGAGTCAAGTAGACTGCATCCTGAAAAGCTTGAGGCAGGTCCACGACGGCAATGTGCTGTAAGCACTCGTCGTACGTTTCTGTGGTCAGAGACAGGATCTCGGAAGTGATGCCTCCCCAGCAATGGCTGAGCGTCACGTATTTAACATCGAGCTCGAGACTCTCTGAGAGACAAAGCTTCACCTCGGGTGCGTCGGGCACATCGCCTAGGTCCAGGATCCGGGCGAACTGGGGATTCAAACAAGGTTCTCCCTCTCTGCTGCATAGGGAATGGTTCTTGTTGCAATTCTCAATCCAGGAAGTAATGGTATTAATCGATGCTGTAGTGGGTCTATTCCCTGTCTCTATGGCTGGTTCTCCTGTCAAAGGGGCCTGTTCTAGAAGCACTAGTCAGATAGGTGATCCACAGTTGGAGTGAGCTGTTCTTGAATTACCAGGAGAGATGACCAGATACTCCATGCAATGCTCCCGCAGCTCTTTGCCTGCTCTCTGTGAAAGACAGACAGCCAAGCATGAAACGACTTTCCCATTATCAGACTCATAAGCAAGGCGATATCGCATAGAAAATGTTTCCGGATCAACGTCTGGGCTTAATTGGAAATCGGTCAAAATCTGACTATCTCCCTTGGACGACAGGGCATGAAGAATTCGATGGCAGAGACCGCATTCGTCTTTCAGCCCAGCCTCGAGAGATGCAAAGTTGGGATGCAAGACATGTAGGTCGTCATCGTTGAGCTGCTGGCGGGGATGGAATGGCGAGATGGAAATCTTAGGATCTTGAAAGACAGCAGTACAGCGATCACAAAGCATGATCCTCGACTATTCACAAATCGGTATAAAGACTGTTTGTATGATAGATGGTACCTCCTGGATGAGAGAAATAGTGGTGTTTATGCCGGCCTCTGGAAGTGGATAGACACGTTAAGACGCGCCTCGCTTCCGCCTCACTGGATGATTCTGACGAACAACAGCCATGATGTGTTGTAATCGCTCATTTCCATCCACTAGAATTCGATGATATGCTTGTACTGCATCTTGGATGCGTGAATCCCATTTCTGTCGTTGATAAGAGGTTGTTGGATTACACGTGACAGTGCCCAAAATGGCAATGTGTGCCTTATGCCACTTTACCCAATGAGGTTAGACCAATGTCACCTGATATGGCTTTCTGGATTTCTCGAATATGAATCACATAGTTCTGGGCCATAGGAAGATAAAGGCATCTGTGGAGTAGAAAATGGCAAACAGACAGATTCTGTTGACCCCAATAACCAAATGTTGACCGGGGATATTCCCCAACACGCAGCGCCGGAAGCGGGCCGAGGTCTGATTATATTATCACCGGCAAGCGATCAAACGGTTTCCCATATGATTTTATCGAGCTTCCAAACGGCCAAGACCCTATAGAGCGATCATGGCCGCCGAAAACAGTCATAATCTCGTCAAGGTCCTGTCTGCGCGGTCCTATCTCCCGGTCGATGAGCAACCATCGGCAACCCGAGACTCGGCAAATTCTTCGACGGCATCTACAGTCGAAATCAATACTAGTCCAAAGCAGTCGAGTTTATTACCGATGGAGTCTACTAGAGTCACTCGCCAACGGCGATCATCCAGGAATGCGGGGAGACCGAGGTTGGACACACAGGGCACAGCAGTCTTATCAGAGGTATGTACGAAGCAGTGGTATACTGAAAACCAAAAAAGAAAAATATCTGACGTCACGCAGAGTCGTCGGAAACAAGTTCGACAAGCCCAGAAGACATACCGGCTCAAGAAAGAAGCTGTTTTGCAGAATACTCAGGCACGAGTAGCGGAGCTAGAGCAGAAGATTAATGGGATATCCGAAGCCTTTTCCGATCTATATGATGTCGCGCTTGGATCTGACTTGAAGAGCACTCATCCTGCACTTTTTGATCATTTCAATGAAATGAAACGTCTCTTGACTACGAACATGGGACGGTTCCCTACAAGTCCATCACAAGAGTCTTCAAGTACCGGTCGTCGGGAAGCAGGTAGCGCACGAAAATGCGCCACATCAGTATCAGAGAGTGTTAATAGTAGCTGTGAAAAAGGCACTTCTCAGCAAAATGTTTTCGGGTATTGTCCATTGCTATCCGAATCGATGGAGGCCACTCCGGAGAGCGTTTGGCTGTCCCCTGATGACTACCACGAAGACAGCCAAACAGATGGCAATAACAGTGCCTGGCGATCGTTCGGAAATTTTATTTACACTTACTGCTTCCAGGAAGACAAATTCTCACGACGTCTCCAACGCTATTGTTTGGAGTATGCATTCCGCTTGTTCAGCGATCCACGCTCTCATCCGAATCGCATATATCGGGTCTTCCGCTTAGTCCCGTGCATTCAGAACAAAGCCAAGATGTACCCTTATTTTAAGAGACTGATCATGGCCGGTTCTGAGGAGTCGTTGGAGATCCAAGCTCTTCCTTTCTACTGCATTGGTGGCGCAGGGACGCACTATCCTGTGTTGGATGACATGGGAAGTCCAATCTATCCTCCTAAAATGAGACTTCCGAAGAGGCTACTTGGAGTCTTGCCAGTGGTAAGATGTGCCTCCGATGTTGAATCAAATTGGGATACAGATCGGTTACTTGAGGTCTGTGGGTTTGGTGGTCAGTGGTTTGATTGTCGAGACGTGGAAGGCTATCTCAGTGCTCGCGGAGTTCGTCTCGAGGAATCATCCCTGTTTCCACGAGTCGAAGGTCTTCTTGAAAGAGACTCTCAGTCGAGTACGGCCAATTTCTCGCCTTCGGAAGACTCAATTACAGACAGCAGAGGTCAATCGGAGCAGAATTATCCAGCAGACAAGCCATTATCTCCATCTGAACCGCTACATCAGTACATTCTTGACGTCGAAAGCTTCTTCCTCCGTGGGTATTCAACATCTGGACTGGCAGTTGCCTGCAAAAATTCCTGCTGACAATATCAGATCTCCTCCAAGGAATGGTCATCTTAGGACGTGTGCCGGGCTTTAGACAAAGTGACGTTGCGGCTGCTTTCAGGGCTTCTTTACGAGTACAGGCTGCGTCCTGATAATGAAGAACTTCATTCCTGTCCACAAATATCTACAGATTGTGAATATACAAAATACACAACAGGCTAGAGCTTCGTCTTGCCTCCCTCCTTGTGCGTTGCATCCCACCACGGCCAACCACGTGGCGCATCACGAGCCATGCTCCCCTTGAACTCCGGCTCCCTCCTTTGAACAAAGCTCTTAATACCTTCCTGGCTATCTTTCGACGTGAGCATCCCAAGGAAGACCTTCGAATCCAACACATGGGCCTCTTCCGCGCTAGACGGACCCCTATACATAATATCGCGCATAACCGTCGTACTCACGGTGGACGTGTGCTTTGCGATATCCGCAGCAATCTGAAGAGCCCTCTCGACCGTCTTCTCCGGTGAGGGCAATACCTCGGAGAACAGCTGGTTCAGCAGCGGATCAGAGGCTGCATAGGTCTCCCCGGTGGTCACCAAATGCAACGCACGCGAAAGCCCCACGAGTCTGGGCAGGAAATACGAGCTGCACGCCTCCATTATCAGGCCGCGCCGCGAGAAGACGAAACTGATCTTCGCATCGGCGCTTGCCACGCGGATTGTCGCTGGTAGAGTCATTGTAATCCCGAACCCGGCCGCGGGACCGTTAATCGCCATTATAATGGGTTTGTGGCAGTTATGCATTGCCAGCGCGACGCGACCTCCTCTACAAAGCATTGCTGCGTTAGCTTTACCAACCACACATACGATGGTAATGAAACATACCCATCGCGATACTCATCCATCATCTTCGAAGGATTCTCTTTTAAATCCTGCAGCATCGCACCAAATCCAATGCCGAGATCTGCTCCCACGCAAAACCCCTTTCCAGCTCCAGTAACCACGACCGCTTTGATCCGATTATCCGCTTTGAAGTACTCGTACGCGGTGACCAACTCCTCGATCATCTGTGCCGTGACGGCATTGAGTCTCTGTGGTCGGTTGAGGGTGAGGAGGACGACGCTGGTTGGAGTGGGGGCTGTTGGCGGGACATGGGAGATTGAGATATCCTGGAATGAGAGGGCGTGGTAGCTTTCTGGGAGTGCCATTTCGAGAATAAATTGAATGTGTTTCTATAGTAGGTTCTCTGTACGATAAATTGTGTAGAGTGCATCTTGTAAAGCTGAGATGTGGCTTCTATTAAATGTGGGATTCCAGGCATATGACAATCCCCAGATTTTCGGGATAATGTAATCAATGATCTGCTAGGTAGTACAGTACGGGGTAGCTGTTCTCCTTTCTCGCGCGTTCTGATATTATAATCCAATGATCGTAATTGTTAAGCACATGAGAAGATAAGCTATCTAGGTTGCCCATGTCTCCAATTCAGGGATTACCCTTGTACAATGTTCTCATCCAGTAAGCACGGGACAGACTCTTATGTTCTTCACTATCTCGTTGTCAATTCAAGTATTTCCGGACAAAGTCGTCCCTCTCATCCTGTTTGAAACGGCGCTGTACAACCTGTATAAGCGGCCTTGGCGAGGACAGTTCTAGATGCTTTGCTGTTCCGTTTTTGGTAAGGGGCCACGCGCTAATTGTAGTCGATTCCGACATTGCTCTGTTGTGCTGTATAACTTGGCTGGTGTGTGGCAATACACTACTGACTGGATTGTATTCCAATTTCACCATTCCATGACGGCTTTATATCTCCCGGCGTGCGATGTTGGGCGCAGTCATCGATAGACACTCCTTCTGAATATGGCCAGACAGTTGAGTGTAGATAACAACGAATGTATATTCTTGCTGTAAAGGCCCCTGATCCGTCGAGCTGTTCACCCAAGCAACGATCTCCCCGATCTCTTGCATGACGATTTTATCGAAACGGGGCATCCTCTTACGTTGATTGGTGTGTTGGTCCTATTTCCGTAATGGCACAGTGTCAGCTATTCATGGATACAACTGAGACATATTCGTTTTCGATGGTATACGCTGGGTCGTCGATAAGACCGATTCTGTTGTCATTAATAACACCTGCATTGTTTCTTGACTCCGAAATATCCAATCGCTCTTTCAACCAGTCTTATTTGGTAGGCTACCTCCGTCGTTCACGGCTTTACCTTGTGATTTCGCTGTTGCAGCAAATTCTGTAGTTTGAGGATATGCGAAGGTCTTCACAACACCAGCTTCGACCGATAGCCAGTGAGCCTTTTCTTTTGCGGGCAAGTGTTCACTGATAAATGGTCTTGACCCTACTTACTGGGCAAGTTCTCCGTGTGATTCTGGGGGTCGTATTGTATACATTTTGTGTTTTTGCTAACCTTTTTCTCTTGATTGTTGCGACATCTTCGATAGCTTTTGTAGGTAATCTACCATTAATGCTTGGAAAGTTCTCGAATTGTCGTAAAATCCAGTAGGTCTCCGGCTTTCAATTGCAGACTTGTGGCACGTTATGATCGTTTTTTTCAGCACACGATGCTGACAAGTGAGAAGCGCGAAAACCCGAAGATATCAAAGCTGTCACTGATATGCGCTTGATACATGATGTGGGATGTGGTTGTGCTAGCTGATGCCTGTCTACAGGTTGCATTGAGTTGATAAAAAAAAAAAAATACGAGGAAGTCAAAAAGTGAAGCGAATGCAGTGACATTTGCCCTAGTTCACTTTAACTACTGTCAACCGAAGACCATGACCATGTGACTGGGTACAACTTCCTGGAAGTAGTGAGGATATTCGACCTGTTGCCATGCCATCGATCTAGAAGGAATCCTTGTCATTTTCTGGTATATATCGCGAACAGGAAGATGCTTGAAAGCACAGCTTCATGGATGAATAGCTGCGCAGTGGTATCGAAAATACCTAGGGTTTTAGTACAGCACCGAAATACAGGTTTCGGGAAGAAGATGGCATAAAAACGATGGAACACGTCGTCTGATTTGACGGTACAGTGGTTTATGACAGGAATCAGATCCATGTCTGCCGCGGTAAGTCTAATGTGTTTGACAGCTTGTGACAGGCATTCAAATTCTAGTTTAGTTAGTTCGTTTAGAATGGATCTTATTGCTATTGACCACCACCTCCAACTACTATTACCTCTGCTGTGACACTCAAAGACGACTAAGCTTATCAGCAGCAAAATATCACTATCTATGATAACACCTACCAGAAATCGAAACTCGGTGACATCCATCCGCGCCAAACACGTGAAACCAAGGACCTCTCACAAATACACATGTATTCTGCATAGTTAGCGACATGCATTCGTTATGTAATATGATAGGCGACGTACCCGACATCAAACCACCCACCCAACCAACCACATCAATCTTCAACGACCATCACCCAATCAATTCCAAAAAAACGCATGTAACCCGAAGGTCCAAGCACCTAATACATACATCCAAGGATAGTGATCATCATAGGCCGATGGAGTAAGCCGAAAGTGAACTACTGCACGTATGTCGGAAGAACCCCGTCGGGGAGATGGAACCGTTGAGGGATATACGGGGCCGTATGGACGGAGGACTGCGCGGGTAATCGATGTGCACTACTACTGTGTTGGATGTTATGCATGGCTATGTTCTAACTTGTATGTGTGTGGGTGTATTCTGTAACTAGTTACGTTGTACGTATTCTGTGACTAGGTCTAGGAGGATGCACCCTGTACGACCTTATGTACAGTCTAGTGTATATGGGATTGATAAGGATGATCTGGGGAAATGAAAACGTGCGTTCATCTTATCAACTCCGTACGGAGTATTCTCCATACTCCGTACTCTACATTACAAATTATTTAGAGTATGGAGTACATGTGTTCAAAGAGAATATCCCTCAATACTAGCTTCACAATGAGCTTGAAATACATGAAATACTGTATACATCCGTAATAGATATGGAGTAGATTTACTTCTGTAGTCATATTCCGTAGTCGAACCATGACATGTAAAATGCCGCATCGGTCCGCATTGAATGCGACATCTGCCTAAGTAGAAAAATCAGCATATTTAGTCTGATTTAGTTATGATTACCGTTGTTTGTTGAATATCGCAATTGACTTTGTCGGCATTTTCCATTGAACTCTACTCCATACAGTGTTCCGCAGAAAAAAATAAAAAAAAAAAAAAAAAAAAAAAAAAAGCGCATAAAATATTCTCCTTACAACTTTACTCCGTACATAATCAACACAAATAACATACATAATTATGCCAGCATTAATACCCACTCCAACGCTCTCATACATTACCCCTTTCGGCCGCCCGGTGTTTGACCTTAGGGCTTTCCCGGGTCAATTCCGGTTTCTCCCGATTAGTTTCGTCTTGCTTCCTGTTTCGGACTAGTGCGGGGCCCTAGTTGCATTACGTCATTGACTCGTGCTGGCCAATGAGAAGGATATTATTATTGGCACTTGTAATCTAATGGGAGAGATCGGAGTTTGTACGGAGTTTTGTTTGTTGTACAGGTCAGGTACGGTGTTACTTGTAAGATGGACATACGAGTACGGAGTACATGTACAATAGGGTACAGGGAGGATTGTCCTCCGATGTATTGGTCGGATTTGGAACTTACGTCTTTCTACAAATGTATAGTACGAGTGATTGTAGATTTACAAGTGAATATGAAGAGCCCTCTAGGTAGTATTTATGCTCGAGTCAATCGAGACTATTCATCAGTACGTACATCATGATATCATCTAAGCAGAGAGCTGCTTAGCAGTCTCCTCAGGCCACACATCGTAACCGAAGGTGTCCTTCATGTTGACGAAACGGAAGTGACGGCCCTTGGCAACAGCGTTGACAGCCTCGTAGTCCTCATCCGACAAGTTGATGCTCTTGAAGTTGGACTCCATACGGGCCGGGTTACCACTCTTGGGCAGCACAACGTAGCCACGACGCAGACCCCATGCGATGAGGACCTGAGCAAGAGTGTTGCCGCCCTTCTGAGCAATGTCGTTGAGGGTCTTGTTCTCGCTGACACGCTCGCCAGTGGTGGGGACCTGGTTCTGCGAGCCAAGGGGCGAGTAAGCGGCGGGCAGGACGTCGTGCTTGAAGCAGTACTGCACCAGCTCTTCGTTGGGGAGGAAGGGGTGGATCTCGATCTGGTTGATAGTGGGCTTGACCTTGGCGAACTTGAAGAGCTTTTCGAAGTCGGAGATGTTCCAGTTCGAGACACCAATGGCGCGGGCCTTGCCGTCTTCGTAGATCTTCTCCATTGCGCGCCAGGTGGGCTCGGGGTTGTCGGTCAGGTCGTGGAGGATGACGTACTGATCTAGTTAGCCATAGCTCAAGTTGCTAGCTGAGAAAGCTAAAATAAGCTTACCTTGCCATCAGCGCCAATCTTGGGCTGCTCCTGGGTCTCCTTCTCGGCAGCAATGGGCCAGTGAATGAGGAAGAGGTCAATGTAGTCGAGTTGCAGACGCTTCAGCGAGTTCTCGACGGACCAGATGACATCCTCGTAGCGGTGCAGGTGGTTCCAGACCTTGGTGCACACAAAGATGTCCTCACGCTTGACCGACGAGTTCTCCTTGAGGAAGTCGCGGATGGCCTCACCAATCTCCTCCTCGTTCTGGTAGAACCAGGCACAGTCGAGGTGTCTGTAACCAGTGCGAAGGGCGTGGAGAGTGGCATTGTAGGACTCACCCTTGGAGCCCTCACTGGCGAAGGTACCGAAACCGACACCGGGAATGGTGACGCCGTTGTTGAGCTTGAAGGTCTGTCCGGAAGACATGATGGATGGTAGTTGAATATGAAGATGTGGATGAAGATGGGATGGAAGAGAAGAAGAAAAAGAAGAAAAGGGAAGAAGAGCAGAAGTTTGAAAGAAATAACTAGTGGAGAAGGGGGTCTGGTGATGTTTGTCTAAAGCAGCACCCCGCACCAGTCCTACGGAGTACTACTACGTCTATTGGTCTGGTTCAGAACTTTGCTTTTGATTGTCCTACGGTGAGCCCAATTGAGGTGTTCCTGCTTATTATAGCCATGAATGCTCTCTTAAAGAACTTATAATTGAAGCTTTGATATAGCTAGATAGTATACTCCATATAGACAGCTTGACAGCTACCCCTCCATGTATTCACTTGTACCGTAATGGTATGATGTATGGTAACATGGCATCACCACCGGTATTACAGCTCCACTCAATGTCGCCATGACATCATGTCTGCAGCGTTGGCGCCAAATGGAGCGAGCGTTGGATCCACTCAACCGCCCCCTCGATCGTCATTGGCTCCACCGATCTTAGGATGTCTGTCCTCCCGTCCAATCATAGACGGTCAATTGGACCCACTTGAGACATTCCCGTCCACTCAGTGAGCCCCTTGGCTTCAGAATTATGGGACTTTGACCAATAAAATAGCTCAATTGGCTGTCAGTGTATGGTAATAACAAGACATTGAATTACCAGGCTCTAGCGAGTAAAAAATGACGATACGAAAACCCGACGATGATGAGATGGCGGGGCGGGGCCTTCCTATTGTGGACTAGATCGGTATGGTACGGATACATCCCAATACACCAAATTGAGGGCTCGAAAATGAGAGGATAAATATCTCTCGTCGCCGTGTTTTGTCTTTCTTTTCTCTCTTCTCTTCTTCTCTGTCTTCATCTTCTCTCTTGTCTCTATCCTGTCTTTTATATCTTCTTGTCTGGTTCACTTCTCGGGAAACCGGATCCAGCAAGTGTCGTTGAAGTGATATCATCTACTACTTCAACCCCTCCTTATCTTCTTCAACCACTCCTCGTCCTCTCCTTTACTATTCAATTCCTCATTCTGAACACCATCTGAATAGCAATCATGTCTGACATTCCTCCTGAAGCTGTTCCTTCTCCCCGGGACCACCGTGGAAGTGGTTCTCTTCCCATCCCCAATGACTCTGGCAACACTGTTGAGATTCCTGCCACCCGCAGCTCTATCAGCGATGCTGCTCAGTACATGCACAACTTGAGCTTCACTCCCTCCAGCCGGGACCGTCGGGGTTCTCGTAACTCCTTCGGTACCTCTCTGCCCATCCCGAGATCCCCCCGTGTCTCCCGTCTGTCCTCCGTTGTGACCGCTGGAGAGCCCACGGTCTCTCGGGACATTCTGGCCTCGCAGGTGCAGGACATGTCCAAGGAGAAGGTGGAGGCTGCTAAGAACATGGCTTTCGCTTTCGACATTGATGGTGTCTTGGCCCACGGTAACGACCCCATTCCCGAGGCCAGGGAAGCCCTGAAGATGCTCAATGGCGACAACGAGCTGGGCATCAAGATCCCCTACATTCTTTTGACCAACGGTGGTGGTAAGACCGAAGAGGCTCGTTGCGAGCAGCTTTCGCAGATCCTCGAGGTCCCCGTCTCGACCGACCAGTTCATCCAGTCCCACACCCCAATGCAGGCATTGGCGGAATACTACGACACCGTCCTGGTCATTGGTGGTGACGGCCAGAACATCCGTCCCGCTGCCGAGAACTACGGTTTCAAGAACGTCATCCACCCCAAGGATATCCAGGCTTGGGATCCCACCGTCTGCCCCTGGAGTCACATCACCGAGGAGGAGCGTGCCATCGCCAAGCCCCGCGACTTCTCCAAGCTCAAGTTCGACGCCATCTTGGTCTTCAACGACTCCCGTGACTACCAGCTCGACTTCCAGCTCATCATCGACTTGCTGCTTGCCGAGGACGGTCTGCTGCTGACCCGTGCCAAGGACCCTGTTTCCTCGCGCATTCCCCTCTACTTCTCCCAGGGTGATATGGTCTTCCCCACCGACCACAAGGGTCCCACCCGTCTGACTCTGGGTGCCTTCCGTATCGCCCTGGAAGCTCAGTACAAATCTCTCACCGGTATCGAGTTGGAGCGTGTCGTCTACGGAAAGCCCGAAACGGCCACCTACACCTACGCCGATGAGGTCCTCAAGTCCTGGATGGAGCAGATCCACAACGAGAACAAGCTCCCCAAGAACATCTACATGATTGGTGACAACCCGGCCTCCGACATCATCGGTGGTAACATGTACGGCTGGAACACCTGCTTGGTCCGCACTGGTGTCTTCCAGGGTGGTGACAACGACCCCAACAACCCGGCCAACTTCGGTGTCTTCCCCCACGTTCTGGAGGCCGTCAAGGCTGCCGTCCGTAAGGAACTTGGCCAGGACTTCAAGTTCAAGTGGAACCCCAAGGTCAACCCCGTTCTTCACGGCGACGGTGGCTCTGCGGTGGAGTAAACGGGCAAAAAGTTTTACGATTTATGGCACAAAAAAAATCGAAAAACCACTTCTTTCTGTTTTTTATGGCGTTGGGTTTTTTTTTTGTTTCTCCCATTTCAAATGCTAGACAGGTTTCTTTTGCATCCAAAGGGTTTGTGGACTACGATATCCGATGTTCTGTCGCAGATCTCTGTGATCTGAACGATCAGACGCATGTTTCTTTTTCATGGTTTATGTCTCTTTTCTTGTGTAGTAGACTGGGTCTATGGACAGATTTGTTTTCCTTCAGCTGGCTTAGAAGAATCAACATCAATTAGACTGCATTGGCTTCAATATTGCATTTCCTACATTTCCGCTTTGAGTCGTGACGCCATGGTGATCCGTCCCATGTTACGTAGCATCGAATAAACTACCGAGATACCTCCAATTGCCTGACATTCTGCAGATTCTTCGGGGTATATCCGTATTACCATACTTTACCAGGCCACAAGTGATCCCGACCGAAAGTCGGAATACTCACCCTATCTCTCCCGAGTCTCGGCAGGAAGGGACACCCCGATCGGGAAATTGCAAACTGTCCCTCCGCCGTCGGGGCATTGTCCCCCGTCCGTCACCGTCACCGTCACGGAACTACGGAGGATATCCGGAGGTGGCCCGAGTGGTATGTCGATAGCGATCTTGAGATACAGTATGAGGCATTTGAGATGTCATTCCGTACTACGTGCTCTGTACAGAGTACCAGGGTACTCCGTGCACGATACCCGGGATAGTAAGTAACGCGGTGGTGCATGCTATGCTACCCCAAATAAGTCCTCCACCACTCCTCCTTCCTCCGCAAAGATTCATAGATAGCCTCCTTGCCAACCCATCCATGGCCCTCGCCGGGGAACTCCACTACCTCCGCTACATTCCCGCACTCGTGCATCGCGGCCGCCATCATGCGCGCCTGCGCGACGGGGACAACGACATCCTCCGTCCCCTGTAACAAGAGCAGCGGTGCTTTGATGTCCTTTGCGAAATGGCACGGACTGCGCTTCGTCAGTTCCGCTTCCCGCTCTTCTGTTCCCCGCGTCAGGGAGAGAAGCAGTCGATCAACATCCTGAGACTCGAATTTGTACGAATCAGCCTGTAAAGCGCGCACGTCACTGATCCCGTAATTGCTTATCCCTGCCGCCCATGTGTCCGGGTACATGTGTAAAGCGCGCAGGGTGAGATACCCGCCCGCGCTGCCGCCGTAGATCCCCACGCGGGATTTATCAATCATCTGGTTTTGGACGAGGTAGTCGACGACGCTGACGGTGTCGGCGACGTCGGCTAGGCCCCAGTATCCCGAGAAGCGTTCGCGGTATTCGCGGCCGAAACCTGTGGAGCCGGTGTAGTTTACTGCGGCGACGGCGAAGCCGCGGGTGGTGTAGTATTGGGTTTCGAGGTCGAGGGCGGGGGTGGCGTTGCTGTTTGGGCCGCCGTGGACGTAGACTAGGCACGGAGGGGGTGTGTTGTCGCTGTGGAAACGGGGGTTGCGAGGGGGAAAGTAGAAGAAGTGCACAGGGCCGTTGCGGAGGGGGCCGTGGTTCTGGGGTGCGGTGTATGAGGTTGCGTGTGAGATGTATTCGGGTGGTAAGGTGAATGCGAATGCTGTGGACTTGAGAACGGTTTGTTGGACTTGTGGTTTTGCATCAGTATCGGGTGTGAGTGAGACTAGTGCCAGCTCTGGAGGGGAGTCCGCTGATGAACCGATGATTGCAAATGAGGTTGGTGAGACGCGGTAGATCCCGTCAATGTCCAGGTATGGGAGATCCAGATCTTGAAATGCTGCTGTTGCTGTGTTGATGAGGATGACCTTGCTAGTAGCATCGGTTATGGCGGCTGCTACTATCGTCGATTCGTCGAGCGATGTATACGTCGAACTTCCGAGGTCCCATTCCGCAATGGCCATTTCTGCATCCTCGAGACCCTTGAGCACCAGCGGCCGGACTTGACAATCCTCGTCATCTGGACGGATAGAGTACAGCTGCCAGAAACCAGTCCTGTCACTAGCAAACCATAGTGCTCCATCCAAGTCCCATTTCGGCTGCGCAATGCTCTCACCCATAGCTTTACCTGCTATCTTCCTCACATTCATCAACCCTTGGCTGCCATCCCAATCAGCCAAGTATAGAACAGTTCCCGTCCATGGCATATCAGGATGCGACCACTGAATCCAGGAGACATATCGTCCCGACGGATCGAACTTGGGATGTGCGTAGAAATCGTCCCCTGCAGCAATCACCTTCTCCTCCCCCGTGTCGGTGTTAAGAGCTACCAGGACATTATGAACATCATACGCCTGTGTTTCCGGCGTAGCATTGCGCTGGTCCTCACGAATCGCAAGCACCCACTGAAACTCGGTAGGATGGTGACAGAAATCCGCAAACCGGATGTCCTGGTCCGCGGCGTGGACGAGCGTCGCCCCGCTACGCGAATCATTACCAGCGCCAACCACTGCCGGATCCAACTGGTACACATGACAAGACTTTTCATCTGAAAATGTAATCTTCCCATCAGGCCTGATTGCCATCGAACCGCCACCGAGATCATGCACTTTAGCTTGTGCACTTAGGCCCGACTCTTCCGGGAGGATATTGCGGTTTTGGCCGTTGGAATGTTCGATGATTGTATATCGGCCATCTTCGGTTGGAAGGCACTCGATTGAGTAGATGGCGCCGGTTGACTCCTGTTTGTGTTAGTCTGGTTGTTGGTCAGATGTGTAGGACTACTGACATTGACGACTACTTCGTGGAGAGAGATACGGTTGTGTGCTAATTGCTCTGCGGTCAATGGGCTGGTCCAGTGGCCGTAGGTAACTTTGGTAGAGGGAATTCCCATGATTGTGGTTTGTGTTTTTGTTTTGAAGAGCTGACATCAAAAAGGACGAAGAAGGATGAAGTGAGTCACTGCACTTTCGTATGATTAGTAATCACATGGTCGAATGTACCTGCCCTACATATTCGAACGTAGCCACCATGATTATCCCATCTAAAAAAGTGTAAATATACCTTGTCAATTCAAATACTGGTACATGCGACCATAGGGTGTGGAAAACAGGGCTTCCCGTCCGTTCAGCCGCACTTAAGCCAAATGTTAAGCTCGGTCAACCATTATTTTTTCCCTTGTCTCGTTGCCACTAAGGGTGATGGCCGGGTGAGCTCTAGTTGGGTGCAGGTGGTTGAGGTGATGTCTTCAGAGTCAAGGGTGAGTGTTGGGGGTGATCAGTGGATGACTATATTTTAGCTTTTGCCATCTTCACCCCTGGGACTCCCCTACAATGCCACTGTACACACTGCATATTCCCCTCAATACTATCCAGATAAATAGCATCTTACCATCTGGCCCTCCAAAAGTACAAGTAGTCAAGTTCTTCCCTCCTGCCAGCGCAGTCATAATCCTCACCTTCAGAACCCCATCCACATCTACAACAACCGCACGCGTGATACTGCCATCGCCATGTTTTCGGGGACCGTCTTTCTCGGACCTCTTCTGGCGCCCTTTATCGGAGGATTCATCAATACCTCGTATTTGGGCTGGTGTTGGACTGCTTACTTGCCTGCCATCATGGGCTACTTTGCTTTCGCAATGAATGTTCTGTTCCTAAAGGAGTCGTATCCACCGGTGGTGTTAGTCGACAAGGCGTCAGAGCTGCGCGGTCGCACGAAGAACTGGGGTATATACGCAAAGCAAGAGGAGATCGAAGTCGAATTGCGGGAATTGTTGGTCAACAACTTCTCGCGCCCCCTGCGGCTACTGCTTACCGAGCCCTTGATCCTCGCAGTGACAGTGTACTTGAGTTTCATCTACGGACTACTCTATTGCTTTTTGACAGCATATACCCTCGTCTTCCAAGGCGTCTACGGCATGTCTCCTAGCGTCGGTGGGCTGGCTGCCTTTATTTGACATGGTCGTGGGATTGCTCACTCACACCAAAAGCTTAAGCTTGATCAAATCCGAGATGGTCTCTTTCTGGGTAAATATTCTCAATATTCATCATAGCAGACCGGGATTGTACATTCAACCTCTTGCACATAGACTTGCGGCGCTCATGTCCATTAAGAAATGCCGTCACCCACTCACACCAAAACTTTGTGTCATGGCGCTGTCTTGGGCATGGATATGATGTATATGGTTTCCGCGCGACTGGGCTTTGTCTTGGAATTCCCAGTGACACAGTGTCACGGGCTCGGTCTAGTAGATAATGACGAATGATATTTCTATCTAATCTAGGTAGCCATCCAACGAAAATATCGAATCTGGAGAGGAAAGAAAAGAAGAAAGGAAACTGCCTGGCAAGACAAAGGAAAGCTATCTACCCATCGTGCGATCATGTGCTGAAGGGCTAGGGCTCTCTGTTTGCTCATATTGCTCCGTTGGCAGCGTTTGCCAGTGTTTGCCGGTCGTCGGCCGTCAAGACTGTCACACACAGGCACTTGTAATTGCTTGCCCTCATCCCGTTCGGGAATTATTTACCCTGTAACAAATAAAGCGGACTTTGGTCATGATTGTGGTAAATGAGCATCAGGCCCAAATCCACCTCACACTCATCATAAACCCCTCTCCTCTCCAGTCTCAATATCCCTCAATCGAATAAACCCATCGGACTCCCTCTTCAACTGCTTAGACTTTGTGCCGATATCAACTGAATATGATACTGTCTTTGAAATCTGACCCTTCTCCTTATCACCTGTCCCTGATCTGGCAAAAGCAGACGCAGCAGCAGCCCTGCTTGAAGTCCCCGTTGCAGTTGGGTATGGGTAGGCAGCTGAGGAGTTGTGGGTTGTATCTGTGCCAGGGAGGATGTGGGCAAAGAGGGCGCGGCTTGTGGGGAGGCAGACACAGATGATGGCGATTTGGCATTCAATTGCAGACCAGTGGATTAGGGGTTCTAATTGGTCTGTTGTTTTTGTTAGCTGGTTTCATGCATGGAGAGGGAAGATACACACAGGTTGGGTTTATGTCGGGGATGTTTTGGGCTAAAATTACCACTCGGACGATTCCGATAGCCGTTAATCTTCAGATGAACATCAGCATAGGTTTAACACAAGGATTGGATGAACAGAAAACATACACCAGTCCTGCTGCAAACATAACAGCAACCCCAACCTTCTTCTGCACTGATAAATTCAACTTCAACACTTCATAAATTGGCATGATTACCATAACCATATCCACCGCAATATTCACGAATCCATTTGCAAACGTTGATGCAATAAAATCAATACACGTTCCTTGTTCCTCCATTGCCCATCCTGTCCATGCAAGGTGCACTGGTGTGCAGTGGAAACTGTCAGTTAGTATCCAGGTGATTGCAATTGCAGAGTTGATGGCTATTATGATGTAGCTTGTGTAGCGGAAGATGGGCGATTGAAAGATGCGGAGGAGGAAGAGGCAGACAGAGATTTTGGCAAGAGAGATCAGGGCTTTGTAGACAAGGATGAAGGCAAAGAAGTTCTATTGCATTAGGCTAGGTTAGAGTGTGAGATAAAACAGAAGGTGAGAGAGGGACAGACCTTATATGCCATGGTAATGTTGCTCTGTGGGCGTATATCCCATATGTTCATTCCAAAGCCATAATGCACCACTTCTTTCGTTAGCACCTAGTTTTAGATTTATCATACTAGTCGTTTACTTACTTGAGGTGTTCAGCACAAACGAAGCAATTGCCAATCCCTGAACAGGTCAGCATAAGACACAATCCTGTACACTAGAAAAGGTATCCTCACATATGCAATAATGATAGTATAATCATCTGGCCCCCATCCACCACCAAGCTGCAAAAACTTTGCAGTCATCCGGATCGCAAACAAAATTGTTGCCAATATAAATGGAATAATTGTTGCGGGGTCTGCTTCAGGGTATTTCTGAGGAATTGGGAGATCACATTGCCTGGAGATGATATATTTGGCCGCTAAACATGTTCAGATTAAGTCGATTTGTCTGGGAAAATGAGGATATGTACTCAATGCTTCTTTCATGGAACAATTGGCCATAGTGCAACTGAATAGATCAGTCTCATATGTGGTATCAGCACAGAGACATGTTGTGTCAGTTGTTGAGCAGGATGTTGTATTAGTGAGTTGTTGTTCACAATTGACCTATTTGCTGTTAGAAGGTGCCGCAGTGTGCAATACAGAAAGAGAGGTTCCAGAGCATACAGCACATTGAGGAATGGTTTCTAATGCAGATGCAATCATTGGCATCATCAGACATGCCAGAGAGAAGAGAACCATACAATGCCAGTACAGATGCATTCTGGGCTACCACCAATACAAAACCACAATAATCTCAGAATGTTGAAAGAAAAGAAACAAAAAAAAAAAAAATAAATAAATAAAAAAAAAAATAAAACAAAAGAAAACCAAAAAAAAAAAAAAAACAAAAAAAAAAAAAAAATTAAAACGGGA